ACCAGAAGTCTCTGTCGAGACTAAAGCTTTACTGGTTTGAACTTATAGCAAAGGAAGAGAAAGTACTTAAGTAGTTGGGATTTGAAACTTTATAAACAGCATTAAATAGAATAATGATCGTTGATAAAGTCTCTTTATGTTCTTAGTGTAGTCTACTTGTGTGCCAAGTTATACTGAAATCAGACCAAAACTGTAGCATTTTGAAACAACTTTACAGAAATTTCTATTTTTAGTAACCACAGCAACACCGTTCATCAAAAGTAAAATTCAATACACAGAATTGTGTATCTTAGAGTATTCTACTTGTGTGCCAAGTTATATTGAAATCAGACAAAAACTGTAGGAGGTGTAGCATTTTGAAACAATTTTACAGATATATCTATTTTTAGTAACACGACAAAACCATTCATTGAAATAAAAAAAACCGATACACAGAATTATGTATCTTAGTGTATTCTAGTTTTTTGCCAAGTTCTATCGAAATTAGACCAAAACTGTAGGAGGAGTAGCATTTTGAAAGAATTTCATAGAAATTTCTATTTTTTGTAACCACGGTAACACCCTTCATTGAAATCAAAAACTGATGCAAAGAATTATGTATCTTAGTGTATTCTACTTGTGTGCCAAGTTATACTGAAATCAGACCAAAACTGAAGGAGGAGTAGCATTTTGAAATAATTTCACAAAATTTCTATTTTTAGTAACCACGACAACACCCTTGATCGAAATCAAAAACGATGCACAGAATTATGTATCTTAGTGTAGTCTACTTGTTTGCCAACTTATACTGAAATCAGATCAAAACTATAGGAGAAGTAGCACAGATCAAAACTATAGGAGAAGTAGCATTTTGAATGAATTTCAAAGAAATTTCTATTTTTTAGTAACCATGGCAACACCGTTCATCGAAATCAAAAACCGATACACAGAATTATGTATCTTAGTGTAGTCTACTTGAGTGCCAAGTTATACTGAAATCAGACCAAATCTGTAGGAGGAGTAACATTTTGAAAGAATTTCACAGAAATTTCTATTTTTAGCAACCACGGCAACACCGTTCATTGAAATCAAAAAACCGATTCACAGAATTATGTATCTTAGTGTAGTCTACTTGTGTGCCAAGTTATATTGAAATTAGACCAAAACTGTAGGAGGAGTAGCAATTTGAAAAATTGTTTACAGACAGACGGACAGACAGGCAGACGGACGGACGCAGGACGCATTACTATCGCATAAGCTCTTCTGGTCTCTGACCAGTAGAGCTAAAAATGAAATACCTTATACATATCTATAGACTTTGGTCTATCATACCTGAAAGTTTCATGTTTCTATCTTGAGCCATTATTGAGAAAACTGCCTGACAGAATGACCCTCTAAAACTCACTAAATCGCAGAAAACTCCGAACTGGAAGTGACGTCATCAACTAAAAAAACGCCTTAAGTTCATATCATTTGTCATCAATGCTGAAAGTTTCATGAAAATCCATCGACGCATTTACGAGAAATCGCGTGCACAAAATCGGTAAGAATAATAATAAAAAATTAAAGTTAAAAAGAAACAACAGGAAAACAAGAAGGTCTTCCGTTGAAACGGAATACCTTAATAATAATAATAAGAAGAAAATTGAAAGAGAAACATTAGAATAATAGAAGGGTCTTCCGCTGAAGACGAAAGACCCTAATAAAATAGAAAAAAAGAAACAATAGAATAATAGAAGGGTCTTCTGTTGGAGACGAAAGACCCTAATAATAAGAAAAGTGAAACCTAAGAATCACTAGAAGGTCTTCCGGCTTCAGCGGAAGACCTTCTAGTGATTCTTAGGTTTCTTAAATACATGTAAATGGTGCCTGTTTTGGAGGCTAACAGTTGAAATTGACACCCCTCGGAAAACTATTTTCAACCTCCGCTGACGCGTCGGTTAACAATGGCTTTCCTGGGGGTGTCAATGCCAACTTTTACCCTCCAAAACAGGCGTGAAGAAAGACACGTTTAAGACTATAAAAGTTAGCAATTTTATTTAGAAGAAATCCAAACTTATATAAAAATAAACATTTTACAAAAACATTCCAAAAAGGAAATAATTAGTAAAAATTATGAACATTTCAACCCTCATACTCGTTTGTAAAATCAGATAATAAATATTTAATAAGAAAACACTGTCCCAGAACCAGTTTTCATGACTTTTTAACAACTTGTCAACCTCTCCGACACATATATGTGACAAGGCTACATTTGAATCACACTAATCGTATTTTAAAGCTGAACACGACTCTTAAGAATTCATGTGCCTTGGTGAAAAATGCGGAGAATGGAGTCTCCACAAAACTCCAAAATGGAGGGTCAGAGAGTGTAAGGGGTGGAGTCTTTTGTGTAAGATGATGCAGGAGGTGGAGCATAGTGCTTGTCGTAAATTTAGCACGTGCTTATTAGATCTGTCATCTCATTTTCTGATACTCTGTGAGAATGTGTTACAGTGTAACATTACCCAAACAATTAAAAAAAATAATTTCATTGAAGTTGAGTGAATGAAACTCAGTTATATCTCCCAACCTGATTTTGTGATGACATAAAATACTAAATGCGAAACAAAGAAACAGGAAACGGTCACAAAAAAATAATGAACACCACATTTCAACGAGGGGTACAGCTTTGCTGATTATTTAAATTTAAAAAAAAACAGAGACTGACTGAAACGGAATAGCATCAAAATTATTATTATTTGGTGATATTAAATACAGATATATGGAAAAAGACTGAAACATGTATGTAAATAAAGGTGTCAATGAAAATCTGCTTCATTACAAAACACCTATTATCTTCTGAAATATCTGATTGCTGTGGAAGACACTGTCCGATGTTGGAAATGTGCCGTGATGTCATTATTTACTCAGAAACATTAGCCCAATTATCTACTGCACACAAAAACATTATAGAAAAATTAAAAATAATTAGTTAATATAGATTCAGTATATCTTAATGAGCTGATTGTTTTATTAGAGAATTCTGACCATTAATTAATTAATTGTTTTTATTTTATTGCTTTTTAAAGAATGAAAAACACTGATTCACACTGCTATCTTTTATTAGCATAGGCATCAAATATCCAAAGGGCAAAATGTTGAAATTGCTAAGGACTAGATTACCTTAACTTCATGTTTTTTGTTGTTGCTAAATTTCATCTTCAGTTGTCTTTTATCGTATCTTCTTTTTGTCGTTTACACGTACAAAAACTTTGGCAACTTTTACAGCAATGTGAAATATACTTCTTAATTGTTGATAATTTGCTGAAAAAGTGATCTGCGATGTGTAATGCATGACATAATTATCTGCAATAAACATTTTGGACATACTGGTATCTTGAATCCGTAATTAATTTCTGAGAGGTACTTTTTATCACTGATGGAGAGCTCTACAAGCAACCCAGTTACATTCTGTTTCTAAAATGATTGAAAGATAAAACGGGCAAATGTATTAAAATTGACACAAGAGGCTCCATCCCTTGCATCCTCTGACCCACCGTTTTGGAGTAATTGTGGAGACTACATCCTCTGCATTTTACACCTAGCCGAATTCATGTTGGCATACGCCATATTATTATCTACGTTATCAGCATGTCTTCAGCACCCGGACATGTATACTCTTCGCATTTGTTAAATGTGACTCATAACTTTATTGAACTGGTATCGGCGTGGAAAGGCGACCCGTGTTCGTGCTGGTTATCTTGTATTACGTTTCTTTACATTTTATTACGTGTGTATACGTCTCTCCAGTATCTTACTCTCCTTTGTTAGAAAAAGTACGCATTTCTTTTTTGTCGAGCTATCGGATGCTGCATAGCATACGTCCATCTACACCAGTGACGATTGATTACACTGATGAGTGACTAAATGATTGGTTCAAAATATGGGAACCTAAGATATAGCGAGTGTCCAAATCAAATATGGCTGGCAAAATCTCTTTTTAAGAACTGTGTTCAGCTTCAAGTAAAATAATAAATTAACGGCATATATATACACACTGTATAATTCTTCATCCTCAACTGGCAACATTTTTTCCTTATAATTATTTCCAAATGATCGAATGCATTAATGTTTTCTATGTCTGGTCTATATTAATATCTAGTTTTTCACAGTTTTCATTATTTTCAAAAAAGTGCGTAAATAATGTTGGCCCTTTTATGATTGAATGTTTTATATTATTTATAAATAGTCTGTAATAAAAGAAAACTGCCAAAAATCGAGAGTAAAGAGTCAAAATATGTCCCGAACGCAGATATTATCATTAAAAAAATGGCAACAGGTAGATCAAGTCGATTCACTTCGGTCACAACTTGAAGAAGAATTCCCAACTAGTCTTTTGAAGGTTTCGTCAAAGGTCAACATGTCTAAAAATTATTTTTACAATAGCTCCTTAAATATGTGTAGTATAATATCAAAATGTTTACAGCTTATAAATATATTATTGATAAATAGATAGAAAGTATCACTTGATAACAAATATTTTTAAAAAAGATATTTAATGAGAAAAATTGCATCAGAAAATGTGCATATTTAAAGTAAAATGCAGCTGCTTAATTCTGTTCTTTTTGTGAAAATCAACATAATAGAAATAATTCATGTTTATAATTTAAGGGCAAATTGAACGTGAATGGTCTCTGAGAGGCTGTTATTAAAAGTATAACATGTATAAAGACAAGACCCCTATAGCATCTGCCATTTGCAATATACTTTCACTTTCAAGTCATAACATTTGGACAAAATAAACAGGGAAAACAACTTTCCAGAGGCTATCCAAGTCCAACTTGCCCTTTATATTATTGATAAACATATTTTGTTTCTGCAATGATGGTTTTCACTAAGAGCGCGGAATCAATTAGGTGTATTTCTTGAAAATATATGCATTTTTAAGAAGATTTTTTTCTCAATTGATATAATTCTCAAGTATTTTTTTTTATCAAGTGATACTTTGTATCTCTTAAACAATGAACAATTTATAACTGTAAAAGTATTAACTCTAAACATCACAAAGATTTTTTGCTATTGTAAAAATAAATGTTTTGACATGTTGACCTTTGATGAAACCTTAACACCATGTGCCAAGGTCTGATATGGAAAATGGCGTATCAGAAACCCTTGGTTGGTGAAAATTGCAGGACAGGCGTTAATTTGAATACCGATACAAAGAAAATTATAAAACGAATTTAATTAATTTGTTAGTTGGGATAATAATTATAAATCAAGGAAAATGTTTAAGATATATATAAAAAGGAGTAATTGCTAGCTCATGCATTTGTACAACCGATGTAAGTTCAATAACTCTACAGTACAACAACAGAGAAATCATTTAGCACCTCACCATATAGATGGTAGGCATATTTCCTTTTAAAAATTGCGCATGTCTTCTATGGTACTGTAAACACTTGCATACGGTTTTGATCCATCATAAGCCAAAAATACATTATTGTCAAATTCCAGGTAAGAGTTATGGCCATCTTTAGGTCGTCTCTTTGAAGCATTTCTATAAAACATTTCAAAAAATTAATTCAAAATATAAAACATACTACAATGATCATTATGAAAACCAGAGGTCTCTGTCGAGACTCTAGCTCTCCTGGTTTGAACTTATAACAAAGGATGAGAAAGGAAGCCATTGCCATCAGACCAAAACTCTAGAAGGAGTATCGTTTTAAAGGAATTTTACAGACATTTCTATTTTAGGAACAATAGCAACATCATTCATCGTATTCAAATCCGATGCAAGGAGTAACGTTGAAAAGGAATTTCACAGAAAATTCTATTTTTAGTATCTATGGCATCACCGTTCATCGAAATCAAAAACCGATGCACTATGTTTTATGTATCTTACTGTAGTCTACTTGTGTGCCAAGTTATTATATTAAAATCAGACCGAAACTGTGGGAGGAGTAGCCTTTTGAAAAATTGTTTACCGACACTCAGACGGACGACAGGCACATTACTATCACACAAGTGCTTCTGGTCTCTGACCAGTAGAGCTAAAAATAACAAATAATGTAAATTTTGCATTTTAAAAGAAATAATAAAAACGAACGTAAGTTAAGGCTTCCATAGACTACAAAGCGCACTCTGTGCTTTAACTTTTCTGAATTCCCAAATATATGATGTCATAATGGGAAATGACGTCATGTCGATGAAATTTGAGCTGGTATGATCGGGAGAGTGTCGAAAATGTTACCCCTTATTTCAAACTGCATTTAAAATATACCCTTGGATGTCGCCCACGTGGTGCATTGGTTGAAGCATTTGTTTTAGAGTCGCACAGTAAGGAGTTGATCCTTACGTTGCGGTTCAAATCCCACTTTGGGACGTGGATACCGGTCCTTCGAAAGGATCTATTTCTTACTTTGCGACTCTAGAGCAGACACTCTTACCACTGCGGCACGCGGGTGATAAAATGTGTTACTATAGTAATTGATGAATAATTTTCTTGTGTTCCTGCGAATGACATAGTGTGTCTATTGAAAAACATTTTACTACACAGAAATCCATATCAATAACAGTAATAAAAAAGGCTCTTGTTAGTCACGGTTTGTCGAGGTATGGATGATTCGTCCACTTGCATCGACCCATAGTATAATCTTCACTGTTTCTTTTTTAAGATGGTACATGCATTTAAATTTATTAACCGTTCTATACAAGATGTATTGTTTCTATTAAAAGTTACTTTGTATAAACCAGTGTCGTTTAACTTAATCTTGTTTCTTATTGAGCACACGTCCCGTGGGGATCCGGATTAGAAGAGGTTCTCAGTACTCCCTTGCTTGTCGTAAAAGGCGAAATTGGGCCGTCCTTCGGATGAGACCGGTTAAACTGAGGCTCCGTGTCTCAGCAGGTGTGGCACGATAAAGACCCCTCCCTGCTCAATGGCCTTGAGTGCCTAGCATACACGTAGGCAAAAATTTGCAGCCCTTCACTGTCAATGGTGACGTCTCCATATCAGTGAAATATTCTGGAGAGGGACGTTAAACAGTATACAATCAATCAAATATTGAGCACACAAATTTTTTCTTCTTTATTTTTATAACCGTATTTTGATAAGGCCTGTGCTGAGATTTACTGTACATGTATATAAAGAGCTGGCATTCTGTAGCATACTGTAGATATACCCGTGGATTACTGTGAAAATGCTGTAGGATACAGAGAAAGACAGGGAATTTTCATACGGTCAGGGGTTGAAAAAGCCAGAAGTGTAAGTAAATGGTATCGATGATATTGTTATATGGTACTTTGAATCAGAGGGACTGTCATGTCAAAGTCATTACATTTTCTCTGGACGTTAAGATAAAAAAAAATTACTTTTGCCATGCAATTGCTCATTGGCTCAATGGTTGGCTTTTTCAACAGCTTTAATGCGAAGGCTCCGCCTTGCCAGGTATCATCCCATATCCTGTCACTAAAAGACTATGTAATTAATATTATCTGGGCTTTTCTAGTCTAGAGATTATACATGTATTAAAGCCTCAAATACCAAGAATAGGGAGGGACAGGTATACACAGTTGAAAAATTCAATCATAAATACGTTTTAGCGCTTAAAGATACTAGCATTTGCATCGATGAACAGAGTTATATTATTACATTTAGCGGTTGTTTTTATGCATTTTAAAGCTTTGGGAAGCCTTAAAATAGCAAAGAAAGAACGTTTTTATGCAAAAAATGATTACACTTATAAATTAAACATAGCAAAGAGAGAACATTTTTATGCAAAAAATGATAACACTTGTAAATTAAACTTTACTAAAAAAGTCACTTAAGGAATTTCCACCCTCACAATTTCATAGGTTCAAAATACAAAAACTGCGTTTATTTTCATTCAATGTAGTTTAAACTTTCCATTTATTGCAAAAAAAGTGTAGGTCACCATATTATTTAAGATGCGAAACATAAATAAACAGAAGTGTATATCAACATAAAAAAATTGTACATTTTTTGTAAACAGTATTGAGAAAAATATGTAAATACTGGTTAAAATGCGTAATTCTGATACTGAGTGTTCCTAAATACTTCCTACTTAAAAGATACTTTTGAATTGTGAATACCAGGTAAACTATTTTACAGAAAAGCAAATGCCTGAATGAAGAGACCATAGAAGGAGTTATTGCCCTTGTAAACATTTTTAAAAGATTGAATAATTGATTAAATGTAGAAAACATGCATTTTTTGAATTCTTTAACTAAACAATATTTATCATTACACCTATTGTAAAGCATTCTTCCAAGAAATATTTTTCTATAAGGCATGAATTTGAACTAATTACTGTTTTTGCAAAAACCTATGACATCATAGGAGGGTGGAATTACCTTAATTTATTTTTTTCCAAAACTGAATCCACTATCACATTCCTACACAGACTACAAATGAAATACTAGTAATCAGAATAAATTCTTGATTTATGCTTAAAAAACTTACGATTTTGATTTTACTCGTTTGATGACGCAAATTAAGGCGGTAATCAAAGTGACAATGATGAGAGCGCCTCCTACCGAGGATCCGATGTAAACACCAGTTAACCATTCATTCTCAAAATTAGGTTTATCCTCTTAAAAACACAGAAATTGGAAAATATATGTTAATGAGAATAATTTATCCAAAAATGTAATAAGTTGTATCTTTAAGGTCAATGGTACATCATTTGTTTTAATATGCATGTATATGATATACCTAACTTAAACAAACCTATTCTCTAACTTTTATATTAAAAATGTTACAAAAGATTTTACAATACATTACATACATGTACATATTACGATTTTACGCTTCTTTTTCGATTGTTTAAAAGTGAAAAGGCTTCTTTTTTCGATACAACCAATAGTAGATTGTTATATGTATTATTTTTTGTTTGGGGTAGGATAGGGTGTCTTTTTAGCTCACCTGAGCCGAAGTGAGCTTTTCTGATCAAAATCTGTCCTTTGTCTGTTGTCATCGTCGTTGTCGTCGTTAACTTTTCACATTTTCATAATCATTGTCAAGAACCACTGGGCCAATTTCAACCAAACTTGGCACAGAGTTTTCTTGGGTGAAGGGGATTCAAGTTTGTTCAAATTAAGGGTCACGCCCTTTTCCAAGGGGAGATAATCATGAATTTGTTAAAATTTAATGGCATTTTTAGGTCACCTGAGTAAACTCAGGTGACCTATTGCTATCTGTTTTCGTCCGTCGTCGTCCATCGTCGTCCGTCATACGTTAACATTTGAACATTTTCAGCTTCTTCTCTGAAACCACGTGCAAAGAACCGATTTCAACAAAATTTGGCGCAAAGCATCTATGGGTGAAGGGAACTAAAATTGTGATTTCATTATCCCTACCCCCTGGGGCCTGAGGGGTGGGGCCAAAACCACTAAAATTAATGCAATCTTTAAAAATCTTCTTCTTTACTCCTGGACATCAAGCAGTCAAACTGTTTGCATGATTGTAATCAGCAATGGGTCCTCTACCAAAATGGTGAAATTCATGGCCCTGGGGTTAGGGGTTCTAGTGCGTGGACGGGGCTAAATAAGTAGATAGTGAAAATGCATTATTTCTTTGAAAATCTTTTTCTCTGCTCCTGGGTATTAAATAAACCAACTAAGTACACAGTAATAATGGGCAAGAGTGCCTCTACCAAATTTGTGAATCTTATGGCCCCGGGGTCAGGGGTTCTGGTGTTAGGGTGGGGCTCTATTGATTTTAAATAATGACAATACATGAATTCTTTGAAAATTGATTTGATTATTTAAAATATATTTTAATCAACATCACAAAATATATACAGCTGGCCCAAACTGGCAGATGATGAAATAAGCAATACTTTCCTATTTGTAAGCAGTATGTGTCCAGTGGTAAGGAGCCTATTAGGAAAGCATAAAAACAGAATGCACAAATGTTAATAATTGATTTATCAAAAAAAAATTATTTCCTTCTCCTTTGGGACTTTTTTACTCTCATGTTCATAACTAAACCTAAACATTAAAAAATGCTGGCCTTATAATGAAGAAAGGGGCCTATTTAAAAATAGATAATTTCAGGGCTCTCCAGAACCGTTGGGCCAGGAAAGATGAAACTCATGTGTAAGCATCCTCAGGTAATGTATATTCAAGTTTTTTCAAATCATGACCCCCGGGGCAAGGGTTGGGCCAAAATAGCCGACCCAAGTTTTACATAGGAATATACATGTATAGGAAAAATCTTCTCCAGAAACACTGGGCCAGGAAAGATGAAACGCATGTGGAATCATTCTCAGGTAGTGTAGATTCAAGTTTGTACAAATCATGACCCCCGGGGCAAGGGTGGGGCCAAAATGGCCGACCGAAGTTTTACATAGATATATACAGAGAAACCTTTTAAAATCTTCTTTTCAAGTACTTCAAAGCTATGATTAGTGATATTTATATGGAATCATCTTCAGGTAGTGTAAATTCTAATTTGTTCAAATGATGAACTCTGGAGGGGGGGGGGGGTAAATTCAATCCCGATGTGCTCAGGTGAGCGCTGTGGCCCCTGGGCCTCTTGTTACAGTTATCACTAGTCTATTATACTAAGGGATGTTACGAAAGTTCGTTCCGTGATAATATTCGAGGGTTTTTCAATAAATAATGTCCTCAATGCTCAGAAAGAAGCAAAAGACGCTTATCAATGATTTCGTCTTCATGATTTTACTAATTAATCTCATTCTAAGTAAAATACATGTCCGAAACATTTTTTATCCAATTTCTGATTGTTTTTAGAAATCATTGTTGGGTATCACCCTTAGTATACTGGTAAATGATAGATCCAATGATTTCCCGGAGTTGTTTCTTCCCTCTGAAAGGTTTTTTTTCTTCAAGACTTGAAATAGAAACAAGTCAAAAAGTCGAAGATCTGGCGAATATTGTTAATAAGAGAAAACATTCACTTTTCTGTCAATCCCGAAAACCCCTTTACTCTTCAGCGTATGCGAGTTTGGATGCTGTCTTGAAGAAATCAGTGTAGTGAATTCTTGAATCTGGGTCCTTCCGCTAATAAACATTTTGATTTTTTTGCCAAAAATATTGCTTTCTAGACTCCTCCAGAAATTAAACTGTATCTCCGAATACGAATTTGAACAACACTACCACTAATTTTTAAGAAAATTACATATAAATCTGTCTTTGCGCTCTTAAATAACTGTGCTGTTGTCAGACATTCGCCGCTTTTATCAAGTATATATTATGGTAAATTTTGTTTTGAGGGTTTTAATGATAGAATTATGTTCCATTATCTCTTTGAAAATAAAACAAACTTGGATAGCTAAAATTACTGATATTTTAAAATAATTGTTAAGAACTTCGTATACGTTGTCGTTTTCACTCATTTTTTAAAATATAGGGTGACCTTTGAGTACCAAGCTTTTTTACCGTCAAACGTTTCTTAAAAACAGCCGTGGAAACTACTCCCGATATGATGTATATCAAATTTGTCATGTGTTTTAAAGTCAATCATTCATCATCAAATATTATTTGTTGAAATTTGGCAACCAGTACATAAGTTGTTAAATTTTTTTATGCCAAGGAGGGTAACCATTTTTGATGCCCATTATATAATTTTTATCATTAAAATCCACCTGCACTTTTGTCTATAAAACAGGCACTGATTGCTGTTAATGTCGTATATTTCAGTGAAAATATCTTTGGCATTTTTAACAAGTTTTACGGCAGCTATAATGAAGCTTTTGACGTTGCGCGCGATGTTGGTGACTTTTGACGTTACGCTTTCATAGCGTTACGGAAGAAATTAACGTAATGCGTCTAATAGTGTATCTTGCTTGACTGGTACCCTATCGCTATCTCTTTGTACTTGAAATACGAGTTTAAAAAGTCATAAATTATTTATAATTAAACTCATGAACTTAAAGGACGCTTTTGATTTTTATTTATATGATAAATGTTGTTCATTTTTCGAAGCAATCTTAAACGCATTTTCATGTATAACGTTGAGGCAGAACGAATTTTACCCGTCAAGAACGTCCACTGGACAAATATGTTAAACCTCTTTAATGTTGCGTAAAATATTAATTAATGAAGTAAATTTATTAATCTTATATTCAATCAAACCGAGTAGAGTAGCACATTATGGACATTGAAATATTTCTGTATCTGATGGGAAAAACAATATAATTTAACGACTCAAAAAAGGCATTGTCTTATTTTTGCACGTCAATTTAGACGCTGGACATTTTTATTGAACTTGTAGTCCATTTACTGGCTCTAAAGCATGCAGTTTGATATCAACATGAATGAAATATTTTAAATCTGTGAGAAAAGAACATTATTTTGATATAATTTGTTTCTATTTAAATTTTCTTGTAAATGAGAAAATTTAATGTCCATATTCATATGCACGTTTTTAATTAAAAGCGTTACATATTTTTCATCTGTAAAAACTATCGTTTTCTATTTCTTGCCAACATTTAATGCAAAATCGTTTATAAAGTCACAAACGACATGGATTGCTCTTGTTTTGTGAGAAAAATGAAAAATCTGGATTCAACTTTGAACACTCTACACACTCTACAAAGCGCGATCCCTGCTAAAAAATGTGACGCGTTACACGCTTAAAATACCTATGTACAGGTGACTCTCGATCTCTCGAAGTTCAAGGGACCGCAAGAAAAGTTCGAGAGATCGAGGGGTTCGAGAGATAGAAGGTAAATAAAATCCAGAATTTTCAGTTCCGATCATCGAAGTTCTACTTTTATAGATCCCGGAAGTATATATAAATAAAGTCATTGCACGTTTTCTATCGTATTTTACAGGTAATACTTACTTGATTTCAACAACAATGATCGTATTTCGACTAAATAAAACCTAAAGTTTCAATACAGTTATTTGTTCTTATTAAATGATTACATGAAATCCGGATAGCAATTATCGGTTTGACTATTCCGCGGCTTGATCGCGTCCTTCACCTGTTCCGTCTGTTCACCATTGTTCACAAGGTTTTTCTTAACCGATATTTAGTCCTTCAGAAAGGAATTTCTTGTGCAATCTTTGCCATACTGGGATTATGTAGACTCTAATAAAAGTTCATGGCCTATGGGAACCTGTTGATTTGATTATAAATTATTTTCTAAAAATTATCGTTTCGTTTTCAAGTCCAAATAAATTGTGAATTTAAAAACAGTTTATAATTTACCAATATAATCAATTCATTATAATAACACACGAATTCTACAATGCAAATTAAACTATATTCAATGAAAAAAACGCGATTAAATTCCACAAATAGAATACCCACAGGTGAAGTGTCATCTATGTAAACACCCAATTAACACCTCAATGCCAAGCCCCAGGCGTTCACTGTTTTCCAAGTAAGTCCAGGCTGCATCAATTTTACGCTTGATTGGCTTGTATACACACGCAATCAAAACTTCAGAGAAGAGAGTAAAATTCAATGAAATATGTGTAACCGGACCCATGTTTTTTAATTAGATAGAGAACTTCGAGAGATAGAAGTGTGAGAGATAGGAGTAAATTTGCTAAGTTATATACAGGAAAAAAACGGGACCGGAGGTTCACTTCGAGAGATCGAGAACTTCGAGAGATCGGAGTTCGAGCCATCGAGAGTCACCTGTATATGCCTTTTAAAATTCTACTTTTTGCATAATAATTAGTAAAACGTTATTTTCTTACAAGAATCGGATAGTTCTATTAAAAATCTATCCAATCATACCAAATTCATCTGTTTTGCGAGTATGTTTTTAAAATCGCCGATAGGTTTAATAGGTCGGATTCTAAAATTGTAAAATGGCACCAACGTCTTTATTTTCACTATAGTTTACTGATTCTTTACCATTCATATATAATGCAGTGTCTCGAAAAGCCCTTGTTTCCAAGCTTCTCACGATGAAACTATGTGATGAAAAGTGGTCACATAAACTGTAACAGTTATAAATTCATGAAAGATTCAATAATGACAGAAAATCAAGTTTAATGTCATATGAAACAGTTTCAGGGACTGTATCTGTAATGTATGTCATATAGTTTAGGACATTATTTTATTATTTCAAAGACTCTTCTATCTTCAAAAAATTCAAAGTAGTGCTTAACTAAAGAGATGAATTTTCAGGTCTGACAAAAACACAAAAGTGTGCTATAGATTTATAGCAAATCATTTCTAGCTGGAAGTTATAGGGGGTTTCTTCCATATGAAAGTAAATATAACGTCTTTAAAGCACCCAAATGACAGAAATGCTGGTCATTTTAAATCAAAATATAAGATATTGTTTTTATTGTTTCTTCATAGCTTATCTTGCATTAAACAAGCTGATGAGGATAGGTATTAGAAAAAAACCACCTTTCAAAAATATTATATGTTTGTCATTTTGATTTTTTTTACTGACTTGATATTTTTGCATCGTAATTTAAAGTATGTTTTTACCTTTGTGTTAGTATATGACACAAATATGCATCATCCATAATTTTTATGCAGACATCGTCTGCTCATATTCTTCATCTCCCCTCATAGTTTCAACAAATGACAGCTAAAACCTTTATAGTAGCAAGAATGGGATCTATAAAAATGAAATATCACAACTTGTTCATATCTTTCAATCATATTTCTTTAAAAAAAATTTGGAATGAACTTTCGTAACACCTATTAGAATAAAATAGCTGATAGGGATATGCTTTAAAGTCATATGAAAAACAAATAAATTAAACAAAAAAGGACCTTAATCATGTACGCAAACCTGTTGCGCAGAAAAATAAATTGGACAAAATGAAACACAAAAGTCAAACATAATATAAATATACAATTGTTGCTGTTTTGGGGTCAACACGGTGATTTAGCTATCTTATGATTAAAATGTACAGCATTATTTTTCATACTCTTCAGGTGGCTAAATTTTCAAATACCTTGAATATTGTACTCCTCAGGTGGTGGTTAAAATATTTTACTGACCTAAAATCAGCAGTAACTTGACTTGGTATAACAGGGAGAACGTCATGAACTTTTTACCTCCTATTTATTTCTGACTGCATTTAAAACATGTCAGAACACTTCACATGTCTAATTACATGTCAGAATGTTTATTCATAACCCTTTATTGAAACTCAGCCACAAGAACTGGTAGCATACTATGTTTGATTTTACATAATTACTAACTTTATATATAAACAAAAAGACAGGTTGAATTAACGTCAACCCAAATTTACACAGAGTCGCTCTAGGGAATATTTCGTATTTCATAGACAACACTGAGAAGCAAATAAAACTAACTAGAATCATACTCATAGGCGTCGGTCTGAGTAGGGGGACTAAACGAATAAAAAAAGTAAAAACCAATTTTCAATGACTATATTATCTATATATTTGCAAAAAAGGGGGTCTGTCCCCCTACCCCTGCCCCCCGGTTCAGACGCCTTTGATACTACAATAAATATTCTTTAATAAGATAGAAACTATTATATTCAGCTTTTTAACTGGGTTATACTAACTCGATATCGTGCGATGTGCGAGTCATCCACTAAATAAAGGTAAAACTAGAGCTGAGCGCGTTGCAAAGCAACGAGTAGGTCTTCCGTCCTGTTTGACCGGACTCCGAATCTATGTTACTTTTTGCAAAATTAAGCCATTCTTGGTACTTCCGGTTTGACCGGAAGTAACGACGAAGGACGGAAAATTTATCTTTAAGCTTCTAGTGACACATGTTACCCAAAAACCTTTCAAAAACGGCAAAATATGCATTTTCTGACTTCTGGTTCGACCGGAAGTGACCTCGCAGGACTATTTTGACAACCCCATTAGATAAAGCTTGATATTTTGAACAACTTTGCTTCTTTGATGCATGACAAATTCTCAATACTTTTTGAGATATCTGAAAAAACTTTTGGCCCCTCTAGGTACCTTAATTCAGCCCTTTTTTCGACATATCATTTGAAAAATCTTCTAATTCTGCACAAATTATGTTCTATATATTTTAACAAAATACTTTTAGTTTAGAAGATAGAAAGAAAAATATGAGTAATTTTTGGTTCGTTTAAGCGTTCTTATTTTTGACCCCTATAAGGCGCCATTTTGAATACAGATACCCAAAAACAAAAAACCGATGTGCACAACTTCAATCCTTCTTTTATCTAAAATCAGTAAATATTTTTGCGAAATCCGTTGAGAAATGAGCAAGATATGAGGCCTCAAAGTTGCGGTCTAGGAAGCAGAAGAAAAAAAAAAATCTTTACCAACAGAATCAGTAGAAGGTCTTCCGATGGAAACGAAAGACCTTTATTCTTCACGCATTTTCTCCAGTTTTAAAGTCGTTCCGGAGCTGTAAAACACAAACGAAAGATTTGGCTTTTACAAAAAAAAAAACCATCTCCTTCTTGTGATAGTTGCAATTACAACGTACAACCTCTCCGATGTGATTAGATACGATGGTTTTTGTCGTTCAAAAAATCATGCAAGGTAAAAGGCGGAGCGAGATTGATCAGATATCTACAGAAAAGTATTGTTGACCAATTACATCCCGCATTAAATCTTGGATAAATAAAATGTTGAGCGGATTTAGTGGACAATTTATTAAACTACATCACTTGCATGACAGGATATTGGATTTGCCTAAAACGACTTATAGTATTCTTAAATGAGCGTGATGATATGCTTCTTAAAGAGTAATTACCTTTCTGTGGAAACACCATAAATTATTTCGGAAATTTGACCTCCTCATAAGTAATTTATATCATGTATTAATCATCCTCTCAAGCCACATTTTTAACTCTGCTAATAGCTACCTCCTACCCGTGCATGGCTCCTTGATCATTTAAATTGTCTTACTCTTGAATATTTACCTGCATACATGTATGTTATGACGTCATATTCTGACAACGGCATTTCCTGTTTCCATCGCAGTTGAAATCAAAAACAGCTACTGACATAATCGGTTAACAAAAATATTTGATAAAGTGTAATTGGGTATTGAAAGGTAACGTCAAAGTTCATTTTCCGACTATGCTTTACTTCCATTAGTCAATGGTGTAATAGTTACGAAATATTCTCTGCACATTCATCCACGGCCAGAATGGGAAAGGATTGTACATTTTGAATGGCCGTAGTTTTCGATAAGTTACTAGTATTTTATGACCTATATGTGAATCAACCCTAACACAATAATTTCTTTATAAATCTGTAAATAAGAGTACGTTTTTTATGGTAAGTAATGTTGTGTAATGCATTTTTAAAGATTACGATAGTCATACCTTTGCATAATTCCTCAATATTTTCGTTCCAGGTGCCCTGAGAAGTGCATACAATTTTTGAAGAATTAATGGTGGATTTGTAGCCATCTTCACACGAAAATAAACAACTGTTTCCAACTTTTGCTGTGCAACCAGAGTGAAGCTTTCCCTTTTTGAGTGTTGAAGGACATAATTTAACTAAAAAAAATCACCACGTCTTAGTAAAACAATAGTAAACAGAGTGGCGGACAACTTCGAACAGCATTCAAGACCAAAAGTCCATAAAGCAATACAAAACAGGAGCAGAGCAAACACGGACCCCCAAAACATTACAAGTGGGATTAGGTGTCATGAAGGAGTGAGCATCCCCTGCCCACCAGTCAACCCCGCCATGTGTTCATGTTCATGATAGGTAAAGCATGGGTTAGTCTGTACGGCATTCAGTCTATCCATAATGGACTAAGTAATTAGTATGAAAAATATCAGTCCGCATATTGGACTCCCTAATAAATTGTATTTGCTGACAATGTCATTGTACCCACGATAGAACTTACGAAATAATGACTTAAAGGTATCTGACCTATATTAGGAACAAAATTTCTAACCTTAAATATCACTTGTTCGTAAAATATACTGATAATATTTTAAAGCATTTTAGAGAAGAACGCGATTAACCCAGGAATTTTCAAAATTTCATTACCTAAGCAGAAATTAATTATCGAAGATTGCATTGAAGCCCATGGAAGGAAGGACGTCTTTTAAGATAAAAAATATATGTTTCAAATAACAAAAAAATGTCGTGGTGGAAAGATGTATTAGGTCATTGGGAATAGAAAGACAATTAGAAATAATTTTTTTTTATCAAAGGGACATATCTCGTCAAGGGCAGGAAAATGTTAAAAATAAGGACATCTGCCACTCTAACATTCTTCTACTAAAAGATGAAAATTAGTTCTAACTACATTGAGTATTCAGCCCATACACATCTATTATGCATTAAATTCCATTGAATCTTAGGCTAATATGGATTGGATACCTTAAACGAGAAAGAGATAATTCTTTTTCATCAGCCTGTTTGTCAATATTTTACTCGATTTAGACATTTTTCATACGTAGAGCATGCTCTTGCGTATTTTATCAACTGAGATCCCTTGACGAACAGTCACATCCATCATATGCTCTTTGTCAAGAACGGGAAAACATGGGGAAATCCGCACGAAATTCAATGTATCAATAATGGACTAAAAATCAGTATGAAAAATGTCAGTTAGCATTTAACTCCCTGATAAATTGTATTTGCAGACAAGGCCATGGTACCCACCATAGATCTTGCGAAATAATGACTCTAAACGAGACAGAGGAAATTCTTGTTTCATCAACTTGTTTGTCAATATCTTACTTGTTTTAGACATTTTCATGATCTGGGAATAATGGACAGCCCAGTATGTAAATAATATCATAACAATCGGTATGAAAAAAAATCAGTCAGCATTTAACTAATGATGAATTGTAGAAGATTTTATAAGATTAAAATATGAAACAGATATATGTCAGACTTTGTGGTATCTTTATCTCAAGCTCACTGGAATATATCGCGTCGACATAACTACAGAAACAATTATTGTTAATATATAATACCTTGTCGATATATCTAAATGTCGATTTGAAAACCACAGCAAGTTTTTACTTCTTTTCGTGTAAAAGATTATGAAAAATTTCTGATTGATATGAAATACAAAAAAAAGTCTAATAATACCAGAGCGCAATGTGGTCCCTTGGGAATTCCAATTGATTGTTGGAGGATCAGGTCCCCGAAAACAACATGGTTATTGTCATATTATTGATATCAACGTTAAGGTTCTTGCGTGTACAATCAGAATGTTTTAATTATTAAATTTTGCAAATGTCCAATTGCAATGAAAAGGTTAGAAAATTTACCCCTTGAAAAAGAAGCTGTTAATGATGTCAGAAAGCCTAACTTTAATTTATCGTGAGGAATACATGTAGTTGTATATAAAGTTGAAAAGCCGTAAATTTTTTGCGTTTTTTATTTTGGTTATGTTTTGAAATTTCTTATCTGATGTACACCACTATATTGCGATCTTGCAGAGTTTTGACAGTCGGAACATAATTAAAAGGTAAGTACTGACTCAGAGTATTTTTGTCGTCAGTATTCAAATATCAAAAATATTTTTTATTAATTGCATATTCTATTTTAAAAGAAATATTAATTTTACAATTATCTCACTTAAACATAATTGTCTTGTGTCTTGGTCCCAGGTTCCTTCACTCGTGCAAACTATGTCGTGAGACCCGTTTTCCTCAAGGCATGTGATTTCACACGATTCGCCGGCTCTACGACTGCAACTGGATGACAGCACAGCATCGGCAATTGATGACGGACAGAGAATCACTATTTGAAACAAATATTTACGGAATGTAGATCATAAAATCGTTAGTAATAAATTTACGTATATTATATTTAAATTCTATTGAAAAAACCCATGAATATGTACTTTTAGAAAGATTAACTATGAATAATAATAATATTGATTGTTCTCATTCTAAATGAAATTACTAAATGTTCACTTGACGTCACAAATATTTTTAACTGGCACATACTAATGTTGTAAAGATGTTAAACGTACAAATTAGGTTATTGACTGAACATTGGAAAATCCCTCCTTCCTTTATTTGGTGGACCGCAAATTCGGTCCGCTCTACAGCGCCGACACCCAGGGCCTGCTTATTACCCGATATTCAGTCAATATCCTGCCATAATACAATTTTGTTTATTGTTAATAAAAAAAAGTAGATATTAAAAACAAAGTGACATGAACCTCCTTCACAAGTTGTTTGATCTGCTTGTAAACCAACATCGTCTTCACATCCGCATGTTCTTCCGTTTGGTGTTGGAAAACAGAAAGTACTACATTCGCCATTTCTCTTCGAGCAAATAGGGTGAACTAAAATTATATAAACATTCTAAACATAGTTATGTATATAATTGCTAGCTACAGTCAACATCTCGTTAGAAAAGAATAATTAAATCGATTTACCGTCAATTGTGTCATCTGCAAATATATCTAAGTCGTCAAGTCTACCAAGCTCTGGATGTTTTGACATAAAAGTAACTTTTGATCTCGTTGTTATGTCCAGTTTTGTTATTCGTCTATTTGTAACAAAAATATTTAAAATGGTATCAGAAAGAATAAATAAAATAACATTTCTCATTTAAAATTCACCTATGTTCTGTACCATTACCTGGAATTATTGCAAATTTTTTAACCAATATTTTTGCAGCCTATTCATTTTATTTATATTGAACAATCTTTATAAACAAAACACAGCATGCTAGCTTTTAAACCTCCGGAGGGTACACCAAAAGTAAAAAGCTTTTACCAAAATAATGCTTTAAGGTCAGTCTACACGTTCCTCAAAAATATATATTTTTTCCTAAGAATTTGTCAATGAAGTAAAGGTACTTTTATAAAATTCCTCAGAAAAAAATTAGGGTACCTTACCAGGCATTTGGACAAGATACCACGGTGTCAAATTTCTTTTATTACCCATATGGGTAATCTCTTGAATGGCCTATATCATAATTTTTGGTATACTTATATCTAAAAACATTTTGAAAACAATGTAGAAATCAGAATAGAGTGACAAATATAAATGATTCATGATATAACATGATATAATTCCAAGAGAGGCAGGACGTTTATTTAAGGAACGTGACGTCTGACCTTAAGAAAAAAAAAGAAGTTTAAATTAAATGTGTTCTTCTTTCAATTAACAAGTCTCAGAGGTACAAAATATTATAAAGTGTGTGAAAAAAAGCATTCTCAATATAATTAAATATTAGATAATATCAACAGAATTAATTAATTATTTAAAATATATTTTAGTGATATTAAAAAAGATATCAATTCTTTTTTCTATCATAAAGGTTAAATATTTAATTTACGTTTTATTTCAGTATCATGGCAGAATCAAAATGTGTCACCTAGAGCTTAGAAATAAAACGATCATCATCATTCATTTGAGATTTTAAGAACTGATAGGAGTAAACCATTTACAAAATACTTTAATAATGTTTTGCATTTAAACAATTTTGTGTATTACTTTTTTCTTTTTGTTTTGTATATATGTGTATGTTTTTTTAATCTTTAAAATCTTTTCGAAACGATTCTTAAATTATCATCATCAAGCATGAAGATTCTCTATTTAAAATTTAATTTTAAAGCCTTTTATCCCTCATTTTGCATACACTTTTTAAAGAGTACATAGGTAGCTCCTCTAGCAAATTTTATTTGGGACATTTGAAGAATTGTCCTTATTTATAAACAGCGGGTTAAAAAGGAAAAAAAATAAAATCAGAAAACAAACTGTCATGAATATTCGTTATATGGAAAAATAAAAGGGTTGATTATTTATCAGAGTTGCATTGATCTGCATATTTATGCATCGGGATTGAATTATTGAATTGACATAAATATGCAAATAGAAATAAAGATTACTGTCTATTCCATGCAGTGTAAAATAAGTGTTGTCCAGATATCACGATACTCATCAAATGTGCGTCAGCATCAGTTGTTAGAACGTGACGGTTTCCTCCATTTAGGTCTGAATACTCAATGCGGTCCGTATACCCGTCTGTCCAATATAACCTGTTAGCTTTAAAAAATATCATCATTCAGAATGATGTCTAAAAATTGTAATTTTACAATATGAAACTACTTATTGGTGGAATTTTTTTCTGAACTTACTTTTAAAGTCAATTGCAAGACCACTAGGCCAATTAAGGCCAGATGTCACTATGTAAACTTTCAAAGTCCCATCCATATACGATTTACCAATTCGTGACACGTTTCCAGCGTATGACTCTGTCCAAAACATGAAACTAAATTCGGAAAAGGAAAAAATAACGAACGTAAATATTTAAGAAATAAAATCGTGAATGTTTCAGGATAAAATGTTGTTTGAAAAAAATAAAATCCTAGGCATTAGCCGAGGCTTTTATATTTCAAGCAACATTTCGCGACCTACGAGGTAATCCTGCATCCTCACACCAACAATGACTTTATTTCTATTCTACTACCGTAAATCTGGAAATTTTTGCGTCGATTTTATTTTGCGAATTCGGGTCAAAATGCTGTTGATTACTTTTTACGTTTCAAAATTTTGCGAATGACTACTGGTTTGTTTACATGTTCTTATTGGTAATTTATTTTTCAGAAAAATATTTTTGCGAATGCAATGAACTCGCAAATTTGCTAAAAATTTATCTAAAGCAAAAATTTCCAGATTTACGGTAAGATCTTTAAAATACGACAGATCGTCTCCTCTATAGAAAAACGGATAAGGTCACCAGGTCTCGATTACGAATTTCAATTTCTCACCGAAAGGAAATTCGTTTGCTTAACTTTAAAATGAGTGCAGACGAATTGAACTTTCATTCTATTTAAAAAAGCCTTTGTATTTGTAGCTCTTCTGAGCCGAATGCTATGGTCATTTGTGCGGTGTATAATCCTTTTAAAAAAAATGGGCCATAACCCAAAAACCTCTTGGCCAATCATGGTCAAATTTGTCACAGGGTATCCATGGTCCAATGGCTACAATTTTTACTTAAATAAGGGTTGGGACCTTTAAACAAGTGGAGATAATAGGTAAAAAAATACTGGTTGCTAAAAATTTTTTCAAGAACCACCTGGCAGATTTTCACTAGACCTATATACAAGGATCAAGATAGATTGAAGATTAAAATTTGCACGGAGAATTACCCTGGGGCAAAAGGTGTGGTCATGTTGACTCAAAAGTAAGTCAGGGTGACCGACTTCCTTGATTTTGCGGGCATTTATTTTCAAATTAATTTTTGAGGCATACATGCATGTTGGACACTTTAAGGCCTACAATCATCAACTTTTGTCAGTTGATGCACCTTGGGTCCTTAAACAATATCAACTTAGAATTAGGTCACTGTAATCGCATTAATTCAGACACTAAAAAGTTTGGAATCATCAAATCTTGTAATCTGATGCATCTCGAGTCTTTAAAACATATTTATGAAAGAGTTGTTCACCGTGACCCACTTTTAACATTTTGCAGGCCTTGGTTTTCAAATTGTTCAAAAGGCATATTTTGAATACTTTAAGTATGGTCAGTTAATGAATCTTGGTTCTCCAGAAAACATCAACAAAAAGGTAGGTTACGGTGACCTACGTTTGACATTTTATGGCTATATTTAACTAGCTTAAGTACTTCTTGGCTAAGAAACACCAAACTTTGTCAGTTTAGGCATCTTGGGTTTTCGAAGAATGTCGACCAAAAAGTAGGTCACAGTGACCTCTTTTGACATTTTACGGCCTTATTTAAGTTTTTCTTGAGTACGTATTTGCTTAGAATTGTCAATCTCTGTTAGTTGATGCATCTAGGGTTTTGGAGATTGTCGACCAAAAAGAAGGTTATGGTGACCCACTTTTGAATATCTCAGGTACTAATTGATTAGAATAATCAATCTTTGTCAGATGATGCACCTGGGTTTTTTTTTTAGAATGTCATCGTAAAAGTAGGTCACGATGACGTACTTTTGACATACATATTACGAAAAGTTTAAGTATCCTAGGTACTTACTTGCAGTGATTTATCAAACTTTTTCATTTGATGCATCTTGGGTTTTCAAAGAATGTCGACCAAAAAAGTAGGTCATGGTGACCAACTTTGGATCATGAATATTAGGGTACTTATTGGCTTAGAATCATTATACTTTGTCAATTAATGCATCTTAATAAAAAAAAAATCAATTAAAAAGTAGGTCACCGGGACGTATTTAAGGTATTTATTAGTTATATTGGAAAATCTTCAGTCCTAATTGGTAAAAATCATCGACTTTGTCAGTTGATGCATCTTGGGTCTTACGATATTTAAAGTTAGGGCTTCAATATTAATAGAAGTGATAGATTGTGCAATTTATCAAAAGAGTGATTCAAGGCTTTTGGGCCTCTTTTTTAATGATAAATTATTTGTTTTACATAAATTGATTAATTTTAACAAAATCATGTTTCTTTTTTTCTTGCTTCAATCAGGGACTTATATACTTAGTTAAGGTTTTTTCAGCTGATAATTTTTTGATGACGTTCGTGATTTGGAGAATAATTTCTGCATCATTTCTTTGATGTCGACATTAATCGTAGTATAATATTATTTTTATAAACAAGTGAACGTATTACTTCACTATGTTCTTAATTCTAATATGCACAGTGGTTCTCAGTTCTTATATCGATGTATTCAAAATTTCATTTAATTTTTATATCGATATGAGGTAATAGTGTACATGTACCCTTTTGATGGATATAGAACAATTCCTCTTGGTGTTAATATGTTAGAGTGTAAAGTCTTATGAATTGAACTGAATCTTTTTACAACACCAATATGATTTTCATTAGTGGTAGACCCTCTTGCTGTATAGTAAATGTTCCCTGTAGAATAGTCGATTGCCATCCTTGAAATTTGAGCAAACCCTGTTAAAATTAAGAACAAATTGTAAGTTAATGGGTGTGGGGTCATTTCATGTTACAATAAATTCATTTTTTCTTTTGAAATAATTTTATAAATGGAAAGACCTGATGAATAAAATACGGTTTTATTTTTTCCATGAAGCGTAGTTGAAATAATTGTTTTTGTAGAGATGTCAGCAAAGTAAAGTTCCAAAGTTGACTTGTCGAGCATAATAGAAGAGGTCGATTCTATGATTATGGGAAGCTTTGTTATATTCCCTGTATTAAGGTCTATCTGCAAAATCCTTCTGTGAGTAAAATCCGTCACCACAATGAAATTTGTCGTATAAACATCTACAAATTTGAATAATATCAGCTTTCATTACAATCATATAGTACAGAAATGAACTCTTTATATGTGTTTGATGAATGCTGAAAATGCACATATGAATAATGAATGCTAAATAAAAATACTTATTTTAAAAATACTTACTATTATCACAGCTGGTTGAATCAGGTTGAAGCTTCAAACCAAGATCACATTGACATTTACGTCGTCTTTGTAGTGGAATGCAAATATCCTCACATCCACCATTTAAGATATGACAGCTGCCTGTTAGATAAAATCAAGAATAAGAAACTTTCTTCAAAAACGTTACATGTATATGAATTGAACCATTTCTAGTGTTATAACATTAAGAGCATTGTAAAGTTCACCTCTAGTATCTTGTTGCAAAGAGGAGTCAAACACAGTGACTTCTTTTATATTGGGTACTATTGTGAAATTGGTCTCTGAAGTTCCTGCAGACTTTCTCGCAAAATGTATAGTATTTCCCGATGTCCAACCAAAATAATTCTTTAATAATCATAAAATTTATAATACTATTAGAAAAAGGCATTAGAATTCTTTGAGTTGAAATTTCTTTTAGAAAAAAATATGCAAAAATAATACATTTTCAATTTATTAACAGTTACATAAATTTTTATTTTGATGGAAAGGCTGTTTTACATGAAAATTAAGCTGCAAAATAAAAAAAAATTATTATATAGCTAATACAAAATCTCTCATATAACACAACAAAAAATCTGGAGCGTTTAAGCGTTTAACATCTTGACGTTTTATTGAACGATGACTTTCTCTTACGTATACAAGTATGTCCGAATAGGAGCGTTCAATGTCGAATGCCCCGTTGTAAACAAAAAAAGTCGTCTGGTCAAATTGGCAGCGCTTTATTTAACAAAATGAAGGAGCATTTAGGTAATATATGCTTATTTTTAAAACAAAATGAAATTATTTATTAAAAATCAAGTAGGTTTATTAGACCCTTTAAAACATAAATGAGCAAAACATACCACTCGGTATAGTCATCGAAATGATGCGATATTAAACGTTTTCAGAACAAACGTTAAAAAATCATTAATTTGCCTCTTTTAGTTGGCATAATCATTATAAATTTAGTGGAAATATTTTAGCTATATAATAAAGGAGTTATTGAACTTATATTGTTGAATATTAGCACTCGTTGGCTGTTCAAATGCACAAGCAAACTCGTGCATTTTGAACATCCAATATACACCAATATATTAAGTTTAATAGCCTTATTATATACATTTAAATAATTAATGTCCATATAATATTATTATGGATAAATAGATTTGATCTTTTTCTTCATATTTGTACTCTACAGTATCTGAAATATCTTATCTTATCCTGTCAAAGGAAATTAATTTTAAAATGTTATTCTATACATGCGTCATTACATTTATTCTGAAATCAGTAGTACCATTTTGATGAGTTATTATGCTTTATTTATAATTCCAGGTATAGATAAATTGACTTAAGACAATATTTCTTCAGAACAGTGGACTTTTAAATGAATGCAAGTAATTCAAAATCTTCGCCAACTACTACATAAATAACATTACACATGTACAATAACTCTTTCAATAACATTTTTTTTTTGTATTATACACGAATTTTTAAATTGATATATCTGGTTAGAATTGTAGTTATCGCAGTGCAATAAAAATGTACAGATAACGAGTTGAGTAGATATCAATCGCATATTAATCAATACCAATGCAATGTGAACAATATCGAACGAATCCAAGAAACTATTTTTTTTATTTCTTAAAGCATTCACAACGCAATTAATAATTCTGTGAATTCTAAATATAATCATCGTGCTTTTAAAAACTACACTGTGCATAAGTAATTCAGAGAAAATCCTTTTGTATGTTAAATATGGCACGCCTTATTCACAAAACTGAGTTGATAAACTAGATTTATCGACCATACACTATAGTTTACAAACCGTGAACAATTCTTCAACTATAGTTTTCATCTGTAAAACTATATTTAACGGTTGTAAACTATAGTTAACGAATGCTAATTAATATATGTTTATCTGTTTGGAATTAAGCGTTAATAATAGTTTTTGTTGATAACATAGATTTACAAAAAACAAAAATTAACAGACGTAAACTATTGTTAAGAGTTGTTTGTGAAACTATATTTACAAACTATATTTATCAAATCGTTAACTATAGTTACGAGATGTAAATAATAGTTTACAAATCGTGAAACTTGTATTTAGCAGACAATCTATGTTTTGCATACACAAATGATTGTTTTCGGTGTTAAGTATAGTTTACGATTGTAAAACTAAGAGTATCGCGGGTTATAATGGTTTACAGATGTAAAATATAGTTCAACTTTGTTAACTATAATTTACAGTCGATAAACTATAGTTTATAACCGAAACTATGTTAAGCTCTTTTTTGAATTTGGCGTGCCATACTTATATATGCATTTTGGTGACCAATATTAAAAAACATGGCTTTTTATAACTCATCAGACGTGAAAAGACGAACAACTGAAATTTACCTTGTAAGCAAATGCCCTTGTTGCTCCAAATGTGATGCTGTGAGATTTGATGTCAGATCCATCGATCATTGAACTTTTAATCAATGATCTATTGAGCCAGTAGATCCTTAAATTTTAAAACAGGGGTCAACATTGAAAAATAAAAATTCATATTTTTTTTCTCAAATTTTATCATAAAGGACTAAGAAGCTGCTGATTTTTAAAATTGTGATTTGATATACTGAAATCGTTCTTTTAGGCAAGGTAATAATTTATACTATTTATTAAGCAGTCTAAAGTTAACCTTTAATCGAAATTTGTCAAGCATTCCCTTATGCTTGACAATCAACAAAATCCGCAAAATGTTTCACCTACGATTTGAACTTAATGTTAATTTCGATGAGATATGATTTTGTGGAAAAAGGACATTTTACGGTATTTAATGATGAATGTTAAATGTTCCCTTATTTTGAGAACATAAGTCATTTACGAAAATAATATTATTCGCACTGTTTTCGTTAAAATACAGTCTTGGATGATTGAATTTCAGGATGTAGATTATAAAAGCTGTGAAGTATGTCGGGCTGTAAGCCTTTGTTTTCAATAATTTTGATATTTATACACATGTAGAAACAGAAAGAGATTAAAGAGTCTATCAAATTTTGAAATCACAAACTCTCAAAAAAACTTATTGCTGTAGTATAAATTTTGTGAATATTAAATATATAGTGTTTTGACGGCTTCGAAAGCCTTCCAATCCATTAAATTAAAATTAGTAAAGTTTTTTTCCTGTGCTTTTTTTCCAGTAAATATTGATTGTATCTTAAATTTTCTATTTGTAACTTTACCTATGGCTTGTGACATCATAATAAAGTGATCTTGGACTGTCTAGGTCTTGAGAAGTCACAATAATACTATAAGTATCATTTTTCCAGTTTCCTCTCAAAATTGATTTTGTCGATATCCCCGAAATCCAAAATAGGTAGCTAAAATTGTATGTAAAACAAATTTAAAGCTTAAACATCAAGCTATTTTTTCTCTCCAACTTTTGAAAAGAATATTTAGAATACGTTACAATACTATGACAAACCCATTGTTAGCGTCGACAGTAAGAGATACTGGTTGCTCAAGTCCAGAGTAAATCGTGGATATTGTCCGAGAATATAAGGAAAAAACTTGTATTGTTGATTGGGAAAAGTCTACCCATCCAAGAAGATTCGCATTCCAGTCAAAAATCAGGTCTTGAATAAAGAAAATTTGATTATCAAGTGTAAAGTGAATAACTTCTGGATTTGTAAAGGAGACCCTTTCTAAGTTAAACAAAAAGAGATTTAATTTGCTTTAAAGAGAGAAAGCAGTCGTATATATTTTCAAAGCTTTTCAAAAGTCTAATAACTGATGGCACGGATTTCAGAAAACAGTAAGTGTAAATCTGTTAATTAATGCTCTTACCTGTAGCATTTAAATCAGACGCTAAAATCTTTGGTTGTTCTGTAATGATGTTAAACTCCTTCAATGTATTACTACTGCTGTCCACAAAGTAGATAATATGTAATTTCATGTCCACAGCAAAGGTTTCAATATTTGCAGAAGAACTGCTTAAGTGCTTTATTTCGCTTTGTTGTCCGATGACAGAATGGATATTAATCATGAAAAATCCAGTTCCATTGCTAAAGATGAAGCCCTTCTCGTAGAACCTTGAACGATCTGTTTTTGATTGTGTTTCGGTAAAAAAAACAATAAAATAATGGTGTTAATGTTATTTAAGCAAGTCAACTTCTTAAACTGATAACTGGTACGTTACCTTCATAAAAATTTTGTACCTAAGAATGTTATTAACATTTTCCTTTGTTTCTCCCTTGTCATTGATTGTCATTGTTATGATTATAGAAAAATATCTATAGTACCTTAAGACTTAATTTTGAAGATTGTATTTGAAAGTCTATTTGAAAGACGATACGAGCCAACCTACAATTTAATTGAAAGTTAAACGAGATAACTACAGTGCATCGTCAACATTTCTTTTTCTCGTTGAGTAATATTCTGCTACCACCTGCTTCTCCGAACCATTTCTCTCAGTGCATTTTTTTTAAAAACCGAAAAAGGCTACAGGAAAATACGTTGACGTTGCATGGAAATAAAGATTCTTTAAAGTAAGAATTTCATTGATCATGGTGTTTATCATTACGCTTTAAAAAAAACATTAGCGTATTTTGGCTGACAGGGTTTTTTTTATCAATTGTTTGGTCTTTGTTATATTGCATTAGCGTTATCGAGGGGGTCTGATTCCCTTGTCATTAGCTGCGCTGTGTCAAACCTAAGACATGAAAAGGGACAAGTCCCTCTAAAAACGCCCGGTACTAGATGAATAAGTCTCAGATTTTTCTGATGAAAATCCTGGTGAGCTTGAGATAAAAGATACCACAGAGTCCGACACTTCTGCTTCATACTTGGATATTTTACTTGAAAAAGACACTAATGGTAATCTAACAACCAAGCTTTATGATAAACGTGATGACTTTAACTTTTCTATCGTCAACTTCCCTTACTTATGCAGCAATATACCTTCATCACCTGCATACGGAGTATTTATATCTCAGTTGATTCGATACGCAAGAGCATGCTCTACGTATGAAAAATTTCTTAAACGAGGTAAATTATTGACAAGCAAGTTGATGAAACAAGAATATCAACAGTCTCGTTTAAAGTCATCATTTCGTAAATTCTATGGTCGATACAATGACCTTGTCAGCAAATACAATTTATCATTGAATGAAATGCTGACGGACGTTTTTCATACCAATTGTTAGTCCATTATTTATACACTGAATTGACCACGGATTTTTTCCGTTATTTCCTGATTATGACAACGAGCAACCGGGTGTGATCGGCAGGGGATGCTCACTCCTCATTGATCCCACCTCTGATGTTTCGGAGTCCGTGTTTGCTCTGCTCTTATTTTGTATATTTGTTTAATGGACGTTGAGATTGAATACTGTTCGTTATTTCCATATCCTTCTTAAAAACCGGTATCATTCTAAGCGTTGACACTATTAAGAGCCCTTTGCTGATCAGTAGGCCTGTATACCGAGTAAAGATCCATTCAGCGACATAGGTTGATTTCTGAGATCGATCATTGCTTGCTGTCTGTCTTCACAATAATCATTTTATGCATTTTTCAAAAAGTTTTAATGGGTTGTGACACGGAGTATCATAAGAACAATACATAATGTTAGAACCAGAAGTGTCTGTCGAAACTGTTTTGTACTTATAATAAAGGAAGAGAAAAGAAGCAGTTGAGACTTAAAACTTCACAAAAGGAATATATAAAATGACAATCTTCGATTAAGTCTCTCTTTTTTTTTTTTAGAAAAGATTGCAATAAAACTAAAACTGTAGGAGTTCACTTTAATAAAACTTTTTAAAAAAATTTTATTTCAATGCCAACATCAATCATCAAAATAAAAAAAAACATAAAACTGATAATTACATTATGTATCTCAGTGTCGTCTACGTGCCTGCTAAATTGTATTTGGAGTTGCATTTCTAACGTATTTCACAGAAATGTCTTATAATAATAAGCACATCAACACATCAAAATCAAAAACCGACACACAGAAATATGTGTTGTCCACTTGTGTGCCAAGTTTTATTGAAATAAAACCCTTAATGTAGGAGGAGTAGCAGTTTTATGTATTAGACAGAAACTGCAATGTTAGGTCACCAAGCAACACCTTTCATCAAAATCAAAAATCGATATACAAATTTATGTATCTTATTATAGTCAACTTGCGTGCCAAGATAAACTAGTATTTATATAATTAATTCAGATCAAAACAGAAGAAGTAGCCTTTTGAAAAATTGTTTACAGACAGACATTCAGTAGAGTATATAAAAAAGAAATGCATGATCTTCATGGAGAGAGAAACATATGAAATTAAGATGTTATAGTATTTCATACCTCTGCATGTCATTCCATCTGCGGAGAGTATATGGCCCTCAGCACAGAGGCAGGTAGCTCCTGAAGGTGTGTTAACACACATATGCTGACAACTGCGTTTAGAACATGGATCTGTGCAACAAATAGATATTTATCTAAATTGCTGAAAAACTTTGAACGATTATTTTTCAATAAAAAGAAGAAATGTCAAATTGATCCATTTTAATATTGGGTTGCTGGAACAATTTTCCAATCGAATTCTCAGCTTGTACTCGTTAAAATGTAATATTTAAGTGTGTTATTCTTATGGAAAATAGTGAAGCAACGTTTAACTCCATTGTCACTGTTTTTTATATTCTTTTAATGGCTAAACACAAATGATTCTACATTAAGTTACCAACAAGATTTGTTTGTGAACAATTGATGCTACCGTATGACAGCTTATTTCAAGGATTGTATTCTCGCAAATGCATGTCAAATTAGAACGGTAAAAGTCAAAAGTGATGTTACACTATAACCCTAAGAAAGGGATTGTTACAAGGATTACTACTTAAGTTGTACTTAAGGAACCACTGTCTAGTTTTGAGAGTTTGCCAGGGCATCAACAATAGTGGGAAACATGGGATAATTTGCATAACGGTCGAAGCCCGTGAAATAAAATTGTAGACATTAAAAATGTAGACTAATCGATTTAAATTACACGAGGACTTCCACGCCAATTTCAATAGTCCTTGCACACTGACGTCAAACTCAAAGGCAGCCGAACGAAATTTACATGCATATTTGGCCTCCTTAGCGTCAGACACAGAGACGGATGCGCACGAGATTTGCATGCGTATTAGGCCTCCTTAGCTGCTGACCTATCGACCTGCCTAACTTACATTCCGGAGGAATTATCAGTGAATCAATCTCCACTTACTTTCAAAGGGTTATTATAGAGAAAAAAAATTAGAAATGGAAATATTTATGAAACCCCCTAGTTAGTTCGAAATGTTCAAAAGTTATGTCCAATAAGTTTTATACAGTTTGTCCAAATCTTAGCTCAAGCTCAAAAATATTTACATGAGGTGAAAGGTATTGTCACAATTAATATACCTGTGAAATATAAAAGCCCTAGCTTCAACTGTTTGAATGCTGTGACCAAGGTTTAAGTGTGGTAGCTTTGTAAATGTTGGTCAACTCCAAGGTATTTTTAATAAAGCCTTCCCAAAATTTTTTAAAAACTAAATTATCCTCAAATTATCTACCAGCTCAAAAGATTTTATTAAGTCACCAAAGTACACCTATTGCTATCCGTTTTCGTACGACGTGGTGCAGTGTGCATCGTGTGTTAACATTTGGACATTTTCAGCTTCTGCAACCGCTCAATCAATTTCAACCAAATTTAGCTGAAAACATATATGGGTGTAGAGGGCAGGAATGGGGTAATTGAATAAAGTAATTGCAGTTGAACATAATTAATTACATTTTTCAAAGTAATTGAAGTAATTTCTATTTATGCCCTCCATTTATCTTATGCTAGACAAATGCCTGTATTGTAAAGAATGCGTGAAAACCAGTTCCCAGTTGGTCCTGCAGCTTTGTTAATTTTTACTTCCTTAAAACACTAAAAGACATTGTTTGATGAATATTGTCATTTATTAATGACGAAAATAACAAATAATTACAAAAAAACTACCTTAATTACTAGGGAGATCCCAGACAAACATACATAGACTTATTGAGCACCTAATATAACAATGGCAGCGGGATCTCCCTAAAGTCTAAGCAAAACATGATTATCATTGCTGAATGTACATTTAGAAGATGGGAGATCACCAGGTAACATATATATACAACAATGGCAGGGGGATCTCCCTGTGATATGAAAAATCAAAACAATGTAAAAATTAAGGTGGCATATACAAAAATTTTGCCATGGCATATAAAAAAGTTCTTCAAAAATAATGTAAACTTTAAGGTGGTATTTCCAAAAAGGATTTTCTCAAATTTGAGGTATATAACAACAAGATTATGCCTACTTACATGCATATAATTCAAATGTAAATGAGTATTCAACTCAAAATGGACATATATTCTGCCTTTTGTACATGCCGATATAACACCATTATAAAACACAACTATAAAAATAATACTAAGTGTAATGAGGTGGATAAGATGGGGATGGTGGAGGGTTAATTTTTTACACAAACAATCGCTCTGTTTACATAAAAGCGTCCTTCACGTACTATGGTAAAAACAAAAGTGACTTCCACGTGATCACAGTTCTGCAATTTCATTGGTTAATTATGAGGTACAAGGACAAATATTTATAAAAATAGATACAGATGGACCCTCAGGCTAAAAATAAATATAAAAACCGAATACTAAAAATAGATTTTGTGATAAAAATAGATGTTGCGATACAATGATGCCATAAAACATATTATTTAAAAATAATATTTCATTATGCCCTCCATTTATCTTATGCTAGACAAATGCCTGTATTGTAAAGAATGCGTGAAAACCAGTTCCCAGTTGGTCCTGCAGCTTTGTTAATTCTTACTTTCTTAAAACACTAAAAGACATTGTTTGATGAATATTGTCATTTATTAATGACGAAAATAACAAATAATTACAAATAAACTACCTTAACTACTAGGGAGATCCCAGACAAACATACATAGACTTATTGAGCACCTAATATAACAATGGCAGCGGGATCTCCCTAAAGTCTAAGCAAAACATGATTATCATTGCTGAATGTACATTTAGAAGATGGGAGATCACCAGGTAACATATATACAACAATGGCAGGGGGATCTCCCTGTGATATGAAAAATCAAAACAATGTAAAAATTAAGGTGGCATATACAAAAATTTTGCCACAAAATCCAATGACAATTGGATTCCGCCATTTGTGTTTGCCTTGAATTACAAGTAATTGAATGTATTTAAATACATTTCAAAAATGTCATGTTTACAAGTAATTAAATGTATTTAAATATATATTTCAAAAACTGTCATGTATTTTCAATTACTTTTCAATTACATTTCAATTACTTTTTTTAAAATGAAAGTTTATAAAAAAGGTGTCTCATGCTGATATACAGTATTTGTACTGGTGGTTTAATAGGGCCTATTCTCACTTTTTAAAATTATCAATTATACATATTCCCACATGCAAATAACAATGATTGTTAAGATATTTTAATTTGATTTAAGAGTTAGCCTAACTACATCCCCTTTTAGATTTACCTATATTCTATTCATTTTAAGATAGAATATAATGACTGGATTTGTGAGAAATATTTATTTCCTTCATAAATATGTATTTGAAAAAGTAACAAAAAAGATCTCGCCACAGACCTTACTGGTGTAGCTTTGGCTTGTGTTTGTACAATTATTTAATGTCTAATTATGTTAATTGTTTAAGTTGTTTATAAAGCGTGTCGCTCTCCCCAAGGCATTTGTTAATGGTCTTATTTTGTACAGGTGTGAGCCCCTCTCATGCCCAAAAACAAATAAAAAATGACTAAAAGGTTATTTAAAAATTTTTAATTTTTTTTTTATAAAATAAAATACAAGTAATTGATATTTTGTCAAAGTAATTGAAAGTAATCAATTACATTTAAAAAAATCAATGTAATTGTAATTGCAAGTAATTGACAAAATTATCAATGTATTTGAAACTAATTAATTACATTTCACTACACGGTCATTGAAAATAGAAGTGAGATACAGGTACATGTATTTTGGAAATTAGTTTTAACAGAGGATTGTTACCAATACATGTTGTAATGAAATAAATTATTATTTATAAAGCACAATTTACAACAACTCTTAAACTAACATAACTGCCCTAAGTGAAGAAATATCAATATAGAAAACACAACATTTTTTAAGAATAGATATTAGATAACGTGTATATCCACCACGACTTTTGTACAGTTCTTTAACACGCCTTCTTATACTGTGGACAAGTCGTCTTAGGCGGTTTCGGGGGAACTGTCTCCATTACTGAATTATAGCGTTTTTCAATTCCTGTAGGTTTTCACATCTGGGTGTCCTCTGATTAATTCTACGACCATGATAATCCCAAACATGTTCGATTGGGTTCATATCTGGGGACATGGCGGGCCAGGGCATAGTTTCAATGGCTTCTTGGCGAAGATAGTCTTTCACTATTCGGGCGCGATGAGGTCTAGTGTTGTCATCCATTAGTACAGGTTGACTTGCTAATGAATTATCATCGAAATGAGGCACAACTAATAGGCTAAGGATGTTGTCTCTGTATTTTTGAGCTGTTAATGTACCATCAAGAATGTTTAGCTCCAGTTTACAACACAGAGAGAAACATCCCCACATTGTCATTCCGCCTCCACCAAAGGCCTTCGTTCCCAATACACCCTGTTGTTTGTATGCAGAATTTGGATGTCGCCATACCCGAACCCTGCCGTTACTGGGTGAAGCAAGAATCGATTTTCATCTGACCAATGTATCCTTTGCCACGACCGAATGTTCCATCTCTTATGCTGTCGTGCCCATTGTAATCTTGCTTCTTTGTTTGTGTCTCTGGGATAAGAGAGGACGATTTTTTGGCCGACATGATCGCATCCGTTCTTTTTTTAGTAACTTGGTACTGTGCTTCTGCTGATTCGAGCTTGAGTGTTCCATTTGCTTCTCGGTGTGTTTGCAGTATCAAAAGGAAACTGTTTAGCTAGTCGCTTTAGCAGTCTATCTTCCCTTTCTGTAGTCTTTCAAGGTCTTCCAAATCTTGTGGCTTCTTCCACCCTCCAGTTCTTCTTCAGCGCTGTACCAGACGCAAAATTACAGTGTGACTGACATTAAAGTGTTCACCAGCCTCACTTTACGTCATTTCACCATTCCAATGGCCTGCCACGCTCAGCATCCTATAGTTTTCGACGAGGCATGATTGCACAAATTTATAACATTTTTTCTATCAGTTAAGCTTATGCAAACAATAATATGAATACAATTGAAAACTGCACTGTTCGAACACGCATTGGTGACCTTTAAGAAACCGGTTTAACAAGTTTTTGAATGGAGATATCGGTGTAACATAAATACAAATAATAAATAAACTTTCGATTTACTGGTAATTCTATTCTAAATTTATTCATTCAAAAATAATTTTTTACTTTCATTTTTTTATATTAAATATATATATATATATATATATATATATATATATATATATATATATATATATATATATATATATATATATATATATATATATATATATATATATATATATATATATATATATATATATATATAAGCCAGACAATTAAAGATGAATGTAAAATTTCCGGATCAACATACATAAGTGTTGCAAGTCCTGCTGATTTCACAATTAGACCCATAGTTGCGGTACCAACATGTGAAACTCACAGGATAGGTAATCTATTGGATATATTTTTGAAACTGTATGTTACCAAAGTTATATACGAGACACAGTAGATTTTCTTATTACAATTCCTGAGAAAGTCAACCCTGAATCCATTTTGGTTTCATTTGATGTCACCAATCTCTATTCTAACATTCCACATGATCTTGGACTCATTGCAATAGAACATTGGATAGACAAATTTCCTAGTCTTTTGAATGACAGATTTCCGAAGAACTTGTTTTAGAAAGCCTTCAATTAATTTTGGAAAATAATTTCATGCATTTTAATGACATAATCTACAGACAAAAATTAGGCACGGCAATGGGAACCAAGGTTGTGCCAACTTATGCTACACTTGTCCTAGGATTCCTAGAAGAAAAACTGTATTTAACTGTGAAAGAACAATTCGGGCAGGACTTTGAAAATTTTTTTAAGGAAGTCGTGGATACGCTACTTAAATGACTGTTTCATCATATGGGACAAAAGTGAGGATCAACTAATGGAATTTTTTAATATTCTCAATACCCTGAGCCCGACTTTGAAATTCACCATGTAATCGGATAGTAATAAATTATCCTTTCTCGATGTAACGGTTATTAAAAAAGAAAACCATTTAATAACGGATGTTTTCTACAAAATAACAGATACCAAACAATACCTTATATTTGACTCTTGTCACCCTAGACACACCAGGAATAATATCCCATACAATTTAGCCAGACGTCTCTGTACAATAATTTCCTATGCAGAAATCTTGGAATCTCGTCTCACAGAACTACAAGAACTACTCCTTCAAAGGCACTATCCTAAACAGTTGATTGAAAACGGAATAAACAAAGCCAAATCTCAAGAAGGAAAAAATCTACTTACAGTGAAAAATAAACAGGCAAAAAATGTCATACCATACGTGTCATCACATAACCCAAGAAATCCGAAAATTTTCAGCATTATTAGGAACAATCTGCCCATTTTAGAGGAAGATCCAGACATGAAGAAAATATTAGAAACTTCACAGATCATTAAGAGTAAACGACAAAGTCTGTCTCTCAAATCCATCCTTACAAAAGCATCCTTTTCTACTAAAAACAATGAACCAGCAATCCTCAATAGATATAACAAGCCCAGATGCAGTACTTGCCCATACCTGACAGAAAGATCCAAATTTCAATTAAAAACTGGAAGCGAATTTACCATTAAAACATCAATGCCATGCACCAGCTCGAATCTTTTTTATGTAATAACCTGCGACGGTTGTGGTGAAAATTATACATGTATCGGCCAGACAGGTGACACCCTGAGACACAGAATGACCGCACACCGACAACAAATTAGGGAACCAAGATGCCAGTGTACTGTTGTAAGCGAACACATCAGAAACTGTGCCAAAAATAAAACCCCAAATTTTACTGTTTTACCTTTCTATAAATTCCGAAGGGATCCTACAGAAAAAGAACGTGAAACTAAAGAAAAACATTTTATAAACAGACACAAACCTATTTTAAATGCAGCATAATTATATTTCTTTTAAGAAATATACTTTTACCCGCATAATATAATTGTGCTATTTGTATAAAAAATCTAATTTCCCGTAATAACTTAATTACGTATTATCATGACGTCATAATGAACTTTGCTAAAGAGCGACTAATATATATATAAGGATAGGCTTTAACAAAATTGCAATTACCAGTGTACAACTTGGTATCTTCTGCATCGTAAACGTGAATGGAAAACGGAATAGGATTGGCGTCAGTTATACCCACAACATAAACGTATGAACCTGATCTCGGATCCAAACCAAGTACTTGGTTTGTGTAAGCACCTTTGCCCACAGCATGCAAAATATTCTGCATAAAAAGAAAGAAAAGCAGATTATAACACATTTTCAAATACAGTCTAAAAGTAAGAATAGCATGATGTTTCTGTCACATTTTTTTTTCCAATTTACTGCTTATTATAACAGAAATCATTTATTGATTTAAAAATATGTTTGATTTATTTTGCTGGACATATTGATTTTTTTTTTAGACTGCATGTCCCTTGCTTATTTTTACTTTCGCGGATTGAAACAAATTCCAATAAAACTGATAATAAACACATGCATTTAAGTTGTTAAACTGGTTATAGGAATCATATTCTTATTACGTAGATAATGAAAATTGGAAATTATCAAAAAAACCTGTACGCAAAACACTCAAACAAAAATGTGATTAGTTTCGATACAATGGGAATCCAAGCAAGTTACAAGTAAAAAAAAAAAATTGACGATAATTTCATAAAAATTGCAAATTTTTGATTTCTGTTAGAAGGCTATAAATCAATTTCCCGTAATGGAATGAAATTATTAAATCGTTGTTAAATAAATGATTTTTGCAATTGTTCAAGATGTCCCAACGTTTTTGTTTGGTACATAAAAATAACTTGCAAATAATTTTCTCCTTAAATTAGAGTGTTGCATTTCTTTCGAGTTTGGGTGTAGTTTATTAGCTCAATACAGTCTTATTGATTACTTATGTGTAGCTGATTAGTCTAAAATCACATATTATATTGGGGTCAATTTTTCGTAATTTTTGAAAAAAAAAATCTTAATTCATGGGGCTTTGATTTCTTGGATGTAGAATTGCTGAGTAGTTATGAATGTAATATTTTTGGTGGACTTGAATTTGTGGGTCTCTTCACACCTAAAAAATAACGAAAATTAACCCCCTACGAAAATTTGTGATTTCACAGTATATCATTATGATAAAACTTAACGGTTATTAATGGAACGCCTCGGCTGCCTTGTGTCGAGACAATTCATAATTAATATGCTGATACTGTAGAATTGTATGCATTATATAGTAATTCTTTAACATTATATGCTGATATATCATACTTGGACATTGTATTCTGATTATTTGACATTGTATAATGAACTACCATTGTATGCCGGGAAATCGGTTAATACTGTATCATCCGAAGGACTGGTGTCCATGACCCACAGTAGGATTAAGAAACTCGCGACGTTAGGATCGACGCCTTAATTCGAGACTCTAGAGCAGACGCTCTAACTACTGCACAACGCGAGCGACTAACATGTTATGATTGATATACATACACTTTGCTATATGGTGTTTTTAATGCAAGATGAATATTGGGATCGTAATACCTACTTATTTGACAGTGGAAAAATCTACTTCATTATAGTGTTGTTTTCAATTGCGCAGATTTAGTATATTATCATGATTCTACATGTACATGTATTGGCAAAATAATGTTACGAAAGGGGAAAGCAGTGTTGGATATACTGGTAGTTCGGAAAGGGATAGAAGATAAATAAGCATTTTATCAAAAATGAACAAAACAGTGCTAATGAAAGAATCAGTATATAATTTTAAAGTATCAGTATATCAACATGTTCTTCCCATATAGCCCTTAGGGCGTCATTTGTTACCTTATAATAGTGTAGTGCTGACACATTAAAGAGGTTCATGCGTCTCAGAACTCGTCTTTTGGACCCATCATAGTTGCTTACTTCAAGTGTATGTCTTTTATAATCTCCCCAATAAAGTAACTTATTGGTAGCATCGACAGAAAGAGCTGATATTTCTAGCAATCCAGTATGTACTATAACAGATCTATTTGTTCCATCCATGGAGGCTTTTTCGATTCTTGATTTCGGTTTATTGTCCGAAAAGAACATCAGCCTGTGTAAGTACATAGACAATTCTAGCAATACATAATCATATGCAATGTAGCCACATGATTGTTACATGTATATAAGTCTGTACCGATATATTTGATGCAAAAATTTGATAATTCATGTATATGTCAAAATATATAAAGATTATGTAAACAACAGTATATATGTCACTGAAATTTCCTTCACTTAACAAGCGTATGAGTCTCAATTAATATTATTAGTTCACTGGACAAACCATCTATGTTTGTGAAATTATAACAACCTAATATATTTTAAGTCTTATTGAATTATCTCTATAAGTATGCTTTTACGCCATACTCCATAAGTAAAAGTTAAATTACAAAGTAAATACTAGTAAACCTTCAAAACATTTACCCGTCCTCAGGATCAAGAGCTAATCCTTGCGGGTACCCCAAATTGTTGTGTACAACGATTTTAAACATTGCATTGTCGTCACTGTATGCTGGTTTCATGGCGATCCATTTCAACTCGGAATCACACCAGTATAAATTATTTGAAACATAATCAAAAGCCATTTGACCCATTGATAGAGACCTTCCTTTGAATGGTTTGAAAGGTGAGATATATTCAGCTGCTGCCAGATGGAAAAATTTTGGTATTCGTAAATGGTGTCTCCGATGTTAAAAAATACAACCTTTTTCTTTGGATCAGAGGTAATGCCGGTCGGCAAAGTGATAGTAGATAGTGGATATGAAGCGTTGTTGTAATAATCCCTTTGACTCGTAGGTATTTCTTTGACTGTGATCAGCAAAGTGGGATTGTACGTTCCAATTATCAAACCTTTCTCAGCAGGAATACCTGATATATAATATCAATTATAATTTTACACGTAATTTTGACATTTTGGATATGTAGGTGGTTTAACGACTTTCGTAGGAAAACAAAAACGGGCATGGATTTGATAGTCTAAATTACAAATTCGCACCAATGACACAGGAAAAATTAATTGTTTATGATGTTCACACTGTAGTTACTGAGATAAGAGATATAACTCGGACATAATTCTGCAATTGAGATGAGAATGTCTGATCAGGTGACATTTTTGTTATTGCCAAACATATGACGAAGGCATGAACATGAACTCAATGAAAACAGAATTTTTGCGACAGATTGCTAATCATATACCGGTTACTAAAAATATACATGTGTATATCCACTGAATGAAGAAGTCACTAGGAAAAATGTATATTTACTGCCCATACAATCACTACCTTTAAAGTAGTTTTACTAGGTATTAGTTGAAGTACTTAAAAATGATATGTATAAATCTATACTTTGACTTTGTTCTTTGTTTTAAAGCTAAAATATGAACCTCTCAATCTCTCATGCTGAACACAAAATTCAAAATTATCTCGATATTAATGGTTTTAAATTTTCACAGAGACAAACAGCATGTATGCATTTTTGCATATTAAAGCACGTAAAACCGTCTTGATGATCCACATTTACAATTAAAGTTGAAGTTTTTTAAAGTAGTGAAAGAAATGACTTCCTCTCTTTTGTGATTGGTAGAAATTTGATGAGAAAATTTTCAATTATTTCATTGGTTGAAATGGTGTTTAAGGCAAGGGAAATAACTTAAAAGCATGATATTATTAAAGTTATAGACTTAACAACAAATTGGGGATCTTAAAAAAATGACAAAACGAACAACAAATTTATCAGTCTCTTATTTCTAAATAACATGATATTTTTTATAGCAATCTTATATAAAGGTCTCTTTAATTTCATTATAAATAAAATTTGATAGTTATTGCTTGCAGGCTTTACAATTTGTTATTATTTTCACCAAAAGATAGTTTATATGAAGAGCAAATGGCCAATCAGGAATTAAGAAAAGCTCTCTGCCACAATACATAATTAAGTTAAAAGCTGAAACGACAACCGTGCCCATGACTGTGTATTTAATGCCTCAAAAAGTAATTTATAGAAATACAAAATCAAGAAATTCAAAAGAATTAATTTGTTTAAGTAAAAAATCTGTTTACTGTTTAAACTTGTTAGATATAGTAAAATCAACATTTTTTTTGAAATACCACCATGGAAATTAATTAAATTGTATTGTTTAATACATCCCGAGAATTTTTTCCGAATTCATAAAAATGGAGACTAATCCCTTGTTTTTAAACAGAAATTAGCTGAAATCAAAAAATGCTAAACTTTGCAACAACAGAAATTTACACAGACGGATCAAAGGATAAAGGCAGGGTCGCTGGCAGCAATTATCAACACAAAATGTTTTTTTACGGACTTCAAACGAAGCAACAATTTGTCCATGCGGAAGTGCTATACAACTTGCTTTTGAATATATTAAAAGGATAAAAACTCTTTTACAGATTTTGGATTCGCTTTCATGTTTAACCACTGCATTAATATGAACATTGAAGTGCTGTAAAAATTTTGAATATATTTGCGCCGGTCTTTTCTTGCTAAACAAGGTAAAAATGTTGAATTTTGTTCTTCCAAGCTGTATATGGTATTCAGGGCAATAACAAACTGACATATGCAAAACTGCTATTCAATATGAAATGTTTATTTACCTTTCCCGTCAAAGAAGAGCTACTTTGTGAAAATGTAAATTCTTAAAAATATATTGGGATTTTTGTGATGGTCATAAATTGGCATTACAAAATCAAAGTCGGACCATATATGGAAAAGTAAATAAAGTATCAATACTTTAAGTAAAATATATGATTAATTATCGGATACCATTCTAAGAGCGAAAGTAAGCATAAACTACAAGAAAGACTTGAAATGAGCGACCGAAAAAATTGGCGGCAAATAAATTGAAGGTTTTTACAAAGCATGATAAAACAAACAATATCAAACATGGACGTCGGTGTAGAAATTTAATACATGGAAACCGACATTCCAAAAACATGAAGGGCAATTTTACCTACCTACAAGAAAAATCTTTAAATAGTCGTTAAATACATATTTAAATATATCATATTCATATATCATTCTTACAGCGGGGAAAACTAATTCAAGAAATTATACCCAAAGTAAGTACCGGTAGTAAAAGTGGCGGCGTAAAGCGAAGGTTTAACAACGCTTGGATCTGTGGCTCTTTGCGTTATCTGATTTTCTTTCAAGAAGAAAGCTTTAGTTCTGCAGCCAGAAACTTTCAAAACCGTTCATACAGGCTGTGGGTTTTTTTTCCGCACGTTTTGAGCCTGAAATATCCACACCAAAAAAACCATAATCAATCAATCATAAAGAAGTAATGGGGAATGAAATCCTTAGTATTTTGTAAACCAATGCATGTCCTAATGCAAATTTACCACTTAAATTGGATCCATTCACATTCCCCTCAGAAAAAATGTCTGTCTAATTTGTCTTTAAGTTATTGATTGCCAGTTGTTTTTCCTCGGTAATTTGTAGCATGTCTGTTTTGGATTTACAGTTCTCTTCATCTTTCAAATCATAATCGCAACAATATGTTGTATTTCATATTTTCTCAAAAAGCTCTCTGCTACACTAAACATCTTTTCAAGAATTAGTCTTTTCATTTTTCTATATGCCTATATCCCTGTCACCTTATAAATGTATTGTATACTTTCCTGTCTAGCTATATTGTTGTGTTTTACTTTTCTAACCCCTGCTTTTACATTGTGACTTGTGCATGCATAATTATCAAGGCGGACGGCATATTTGCCGGTGGAGAGGTGCAAACTTTGTCCTATGCTCGGCACTTGGGGCCATACCTTTTACATTTTTTTTTTGCTGGCAGCACCTCCTGCAGATGCGAAACCTCGGTAAAGAGGATTCTTTTACCTAATATTGTGTAAAACATTTCTGTGACGTCATCTTTTGTTAAACCTGGTTCAATAACTCTTACTTCAAGCACGCTCTAACTAAGTTAGGCGGGCGTCAATTGAAGTGCTGTAAAAATTTTGATTTGCGCCGGTGCTTTTTTAGGCAAAGAGCGAGGTAATTTCTTATACAGTTCTTAAAAGGCTGTATATATAACAATTTAATATGAACAACATATTTAAATACTATTCCTGAATATTTATGTTAGCATTTCACAAAAAATCCGTTTGTGAAAATGGCACAAAAAATTAAGTGAATTGAATGTCCCTAAACCGGCATTACAAAATCATAGACTGTTTCGGACCATATATAGAAAAGTAAATAAAGTATCAATACTTTAAGTAAAATATATGATTAATTATCCAATGCTTGAGCGACGGTAACATAAACTACAAGATAGACTTTAAATGAACACAATAATGCGTTTTCAAATAAATTGAAGGTTTTTACAAATCATGATAAAACAAACGATATCCAACATTGACGTCGGTGTGGAAATTTAATGCATGGAAACCGACATTCCAAAAACATGAAGGGCTGATTTGGACCTTCGGAAGGAGGATAAAATATTCAAATAGTCGTTAAATACATATTTAAATATATCATATTCATATATTTTAAGGAGCGGGGAAAACTAGTTCGAAACCTGCACACAAAGTAAGAGAAAGTGTTGCGGCGTAAAAAAAAAATACACTCAGGCATTGTCCGAATTTCAAAGAAAATGCTTAAACAGTTCTGTAGGATTAAAATACTTCAAATCCTATTGCTTTACAAAAATTACCTGTTTTTTTTCTCCGAAATTTAAGAATATATATATCCGGATTCCAGTCCGAAGTAAAAACTTGAAACTGAGGTATTTTGTAATCGGTAAATGGCATGTCCAAAACACAATTTGAAGGTATTTTTTTTCAAAATCAAAATGCACCGTCAGAGAAACTGTTGTCGATTTATCTGGAAAATTATAAATTGTCAAGAATTTGTTTTTCCTCGGTAATTTGTAGCATGTCAGTTTTGGATTTACAGTTCTCTTCATCTTTCAAATCATAATCGCAACAAAGTTAATGTTCATATTTTCGATATAAAAAGCTCTCTGCTACAATAAAATAAAATCAAAAAAAGTCAAAACATTTTTCTTTACCTAACTTATAAATGTATTGTATACTTTCCTGTCAAACTATATTGTTGTGTTTTACTTTTCTAACCCCTGCTTTTACATTGTGAAGTGTGCGACAATGGCGAAATGTTTGAAAAGTAGGTTATAAGCCACCAACTGGTGTCCATTATGTCTACCTTTTACAATTTTTTTGCGGAGCTATCTCCCGAGACGCGAAAATTCAGTAAAGAGATGATTCTTTTACAACTAATAATCGTGATTAAAAGGACTAGCGCCAGTTAAACGGTTCCATCACTTACAAATGGAGCAGCACTTAATTGTAGGTCGCCTCCTCGCTATTCGACTTTTTTGCACATGACGTCATTTTCGCATTTTCAATTTACAGAAATTATAATATATAATACATTTTTATTATATATTCGCTTGTATTTATCTAATTGACATTGAAGTCTATAAATTTCTATTTTCATTGTATTATTTTCCATTTACATCGGATGATCTTCCGGTTGTATTAAAAAAAAGTTTCCATTTCTATTCTGTGTTTTTGATTTTATTCACTAAATTTAAATTGTTTGTTATTTCCTCATCTTGAGAATTATGCAATACTAGGGAGACGATTGAAAATTGCAATGTTTATGGCATATATTGCTGAAATGAATACTAGTATATGATTTTAGAATATAATTCTGAGTTTAGCCATTTCGATATCTCGACTTCTGTAGTCAAAACGTAACTTAATTATTGCCTGCAACTGTCTAGTTTAAGCTCAAGTAGCTTGTTCCATGACCCCCCCCCCAACAAAAAACAAAACAAAACCAAGCAATATAATCGACTGACAAAAGCCGCCAGAAAAGAAATACATTTTTAAATTAGTTCTGGATTATGCTCAGTAACTACTATGTCGCCAAATATTATTTAAAATATACAGTTATTGATTTGACAACATTTCACATTTAAATCTTACAAATCATATGTTGTCCCAAATGCAGTTTATAACTGTTTTATTATATAATTCAGTGTATATATACACATATATATATATATATATATATATATATATATATATATATATATATATATATATATTATATATATATATATATATATATATATACACAATTTCTTTATAAGTGATATTTTTGCTCTAAAACAAGGCCAACAAAGAATAAAAAAATATTTAATTATTATAACATAAATTATTTATTACAAGCGTAAATTCTCGAGTCGCAATCTTTCAAATAGCATAAGAGGTAACTCTTGAAGCTTCTGCTATTTCTGGGTCGTCGACATTGATATAGCAGTTACGTTGCAGCTTATCAATTCTAACGTGGGACTAACAGACCGGTCATCAATGAAATTGTTACTATTTGTTAGTCCCATGAAAAGCTTTACTTTGATGATTTCTTTAAAATTAAAAATAAAGTAAGGTAATTATAAGGGTACGTCAAAAAGAGTTTGGTTATTTAAGTTATTTAAATTCAGATAATACTACAAACAAAGCTTAAAGACACGTCACGAGCCCTTTGTCTTGATTTATAAGTTTAATCTAACTAAAAGAGATACATGGATATAAGTACATTACTATTTATTTAAAAAGCTCAAAATCAAAGAGATAAAATTCAGTAATCATGAATTATTTTCTTTTTCAATGTGCTCTACAACTTATAATGTGCAGTTGAAATTCTATTAAGAAATCTCTATACTGTACGGCCAAATTTTCTTTCGAAAAATCTCAAATCAGGACATTTAATTTAGCAGTGCGTCCATAACGATGTACTTGTCTAAAGATGGTACAAATAACTTGGAGCGTAGTTTTGTCATAATTGTTTTAATTTTGTCATTTAATTGTAAAGATGTTTACATGTGTATAGATAATTTTAATACAAGATTTATTGTTTGAGATCTACCCTGTATGTGCCAGTTGTTTTCAAGTTTTGCATGCACTATTGTCAAGAGTTCTTTTCAAATTGTTAAAAGTATTCAAATGAACGCGTATTGATGAAGAACTGATACCAAAGATTCTGTTCAATGCACTTTGTGTGAAGGTAAAAAGGCAATTGAATGATGAATGCAACAGTAAAAATAAAATCATTTGTATCATCAATGCACGAATGCAATAAATCTCCAAATATTAATTAAACAAAATAGTTCAACAATTAATTTTGATAAGAATATATCAAAAAGGTATAAATAAATACAATGCTGTCATATTTTGCTACATGTTCTTAAAGTTACGTTCTCTCAGATCCCCCTTTTTGTGAAATGGATTTAATATGGTTTATATATCACTATCGACGAAATAAGGAACGCAAACATTCTTGAATATATTCCGTAAATAAACCATCTTAAATTCAACCACACAAAAAATCCAAATATAATTTTCTTATTATCTATTTAGAAGCAAAGTAAAAAGTTAATTAAATATGTTCTAATTAACACCACTACACTAACTACAATGTACTTCTACCTGTGTTAAACACCATTATAAACATTATCTTCTTTTTGATATTCTTCTTATGAAAAGGTACGGAAAGCATTAACTCTGAGAACAAAATATCTGTTTATATTATCATCTTACCGAGGCAAAGGTATCCATATGCATTTATGACGGCCAAAAATGTTACAATGTGACGAAAACACATCTTGGTCACTAATGAACGAAATCACCAAATTTAGACGTATTTGACGAATTGGTGAAACAATGGTAACCATCAATCGAGGAAGTTCTGTTCCAGTCGATCGCTTCGCAGCATTAAAGAATTGAATAGAGATGAATGCAAAAATATTTTGGGACAGGATCTCAAGAGTAGGATTTCCCCCGAAATCTCACACCAGAGCCAAAATCCCCCCTCTTTCTTTCTCAGAGTATGATTCCCCCCTTGTTATAGAGTCAATAAAATTCAGAGTTGCAATATTTTTGTGAAAAAAGTAAACGACAAACTGATTTTTCAAAGGTGAATGGGTGTTTTTTGACTTATGTACATAGTTATGAAGCAAGAATTTTTGAAGCATTCAAATCATGGAGTCTCATCCCAAAGTTTTTGTTTTATAAAGAAATGTACACTGACATACCGAAAAATTAGCTCAACACCTCCACCCATTTAGGAAAACATTGTGGAAAACCCTTAATTATAAAAAAGATCATAATTCCGTAAAAAAATTTTTGAAGCGAAAAAAAAATGCAAAATTGAATTTTAAATCATCAAGACACATATACACTCTCATACCAAAAATAGCTCATTATCTTCAAACTTTTAGGAAAAAAAGTACGGAAAACCATTCCGGATAGACTGTGGGACAGCTATGCAAACAGACGGACGGACAGACGCGTGATACACCTATAGTTCCACTGGTTTAACCGAATTATTTGATCTAAAAACATTCGGTTTGACGGTTGCTGAGAAAATGAGAAATTTTAATTTTTCGTTCTTCGTATACAACATATTAAATCATCTGATCACCATTTTGGGAGAGACAATTGTTACAATGTACCGCCCCTCCACTTCAAAGCATACATTTATAAGTAAAGTAATTATATTTTGTTGAGGGGAAAATTGCATCTGGGGGAAATCGCACTGACCACTACACAGAGTAAACCCCCCCCCCGGAAAATCGACTCTGGTATGGGATTTCTGTAGGGGAAATATTGCTCTTAGCAACTTTTCTATGGGCCGGGGTAATCCTACTTTAGAGTCACTTTTTTGTGGGGGTAATCATACTCATGAGCCAGTTTTCCGGGGAAAATATTATAGGGGGAAAAGCCTAACCTACAAGACCGGTAGTGTTCTCAATGGCGTGCTGGATAGCCCAAAACGGTATACAACTTGGTCTCACAATATTTATCCTTTATTCTGTATTTTTTTAATATTCTGAAAGAAGGTGAATCTTAAATATCATGCTCACGTGGCAAGAAAAAAATTGTAATGCGAGTCTCTGTCATTACATAATTATACTTTGGAATACATTTTTGAAACACATTAAAACGACAGTATTGCATTTGAAAACTACATGTAAATAACCGAAATAATCCCAACCCTTGCAGACAGAACTGATAACGACTGGCAATGCATACATATATCTCAATATGTAGATTTCACCAATTCATAGATAATCGATCTTTTAAAACAAAAATAGTTCATTCGAAAACTTTTTCTTTATAAAGAAAAATGAAACACAAATTAACAGATCGTAAAAATGTATGTAATGTATAAGTTTGTGAACAAACACAGTTTATCATCATTTTATTCGTCAGAAAATTCTACAAATTATTATGTGCAGTTAAATGCGCGCACAAAATCTTCTATTTAAGAAATCTATAATGCGTGGTCAAATTTCCTTTAGAAAAAATCTCGAATTGAGACAGTTCTTTTGCAGTCCGTCTATTCATGACGATATACTTGTGTTAAGTTGTGATTAATATCTTGAGGCATAGTTTTGTCATAATTGTTTTATTTTGCCATTGTAAAGATGTTAAATATGCTTAGCTAATTTTACTTAAAGATTTTTTTGTCTGAGATTTGCCCTGTATGTGCCAGTAGCTTCCAAAATTTGCAGGTGCTTTTGTCAAGAGTTCTTTTCAAATGGTTAAAATCATTGTAAACATCACCGATTGATAAAATATTGATACCATCAAGCTGCTGTCCTTTAAAAATGTGAACCCTATGCATGTGTTTCTAAACGAAAATCTAAGAAAATTTCTATATGTAGTGATTTAACAATTTTCTTTCACACATATCTTGTCATTTTCGTTGTTATTCAATTCTGCTTAATTAGGCTTTAATGATTTAAGAATCATGGACCTGAAATGATATGAGTAATAAATGTTGATCTAGGTATCCTTTACAATTGTAATGTTGCCTTTAAAATAAACAACAAAATGAAAAGAGGTTTCAGCGTGCAAGTATCGTAATGGCTGAATTTAACTCCATTGGCGGATCCAGGGAGAGCTGTGCGGGTGGCGCAGAACTCCCATTAATTTTGCAGAAATTGAAAGAGAGAAAGAGAGAGAAAAGGTATGTTTACCTGTAATATATATAATGTTTCGTCTAGTATTTTCAATAAAATAAGTACAATTTCTACCCTTTCTGCTCGCTAGGTAAAGGTTTGCTTAGTGCTTTCCTGTGTGTACCTTCACAATCCCGGCCCAGGGCTTGGGGCCTTAGCCATCCACATGCTATATAATAGATTTCACTTCTTTATCATCGGAAGAATCAAGCAAACGTTGTTCTATGACATTTTTGGACCATCTTCTGAAGTTACTAATTTAAGAAATGGGAATAAAAAGTCATGACAGAGAGTACTGTATGCATAATATTGTGGAAATATTGGATTCGATGAAGAGAAAATTTTAAAATGCCCGCGTACATATGTACATATGTATTTGAGGGTGGGTCTTACTTTTAAAAAAATGCTGTGGTGCACAGGTTTTTAAGTTTATTAAGTTTTTCATTTCTTTTTTGCGTGTGACCTCATTTTGGAGGTTATCATCTTTGAAAACCGTTGCTACCGGCTTGAAGTGTCCGTGCTGTGACCTAGACTTTCCTTTTCAAAAACTAATGGATCCGACCCTATACTTAAACACTAGAGGGTCTAGAGTTATTAATTATCTTCGATCAATAAAAAAAAACCAAGATTAATTTTGTGTGTGTGAGGGTGTATGTGTATGTGTTTCTCTCTCTATCTCTTGTTCTATCTGAGTAATTCAACAAAAACATAAAGTTCCTCATCACATATCCCTATTCTTTATGAATTTTGATTTAAATATAAATGTTGAGTATTTAAAGGTTCTGACTGAACTTTTTTTTTTTTTATAAAACTGACGATTAACATATTACTTGAATGCATTTGATTTCTTAGGATTTACAATTTGATGCTCTTTTGAGCTGAAAGCCCGAGTGAGTTTTTTCTGATTAAAATTTATTCGTTGTTTTTCATTGACCTTGTTGTTATTGCTGTCGTCGTATTTTTTTTTAAACAAATTTATCTTCTTCTCCAGAACCACTGTACCTATTTCAATCAAACTTGGCAAAGAATTTCCTTGGGTAATGTAAATTCAATATTGTTCAAATAAAGGGCCTTACTCTCTTCCAAAGGAAAAGGACAAGATAGGGTAAAAGCCGAATCTGGCCCTTTATTTGATATGAAAATCCGAACAATGGTAGAATTGTGATAGTTTGTAGTTCAGAGGTTAAAATGATCCTCACTTTAACACAAGCACTAATTTTGATTCAAAGCTTACATGGAAGCCACTAGACTAGAGGGCGCAGAAATAGGGCATTTTCTAGAATTTCTTCAATTCTGGTGGAATTTCGTCATATTTCGAATACATTTCTCTTCGGAAAACATAGAACACAAGCTTGCCTATCTGAGATTTTTACACATAAACTGCATCTGATGTGAGTGTATAAAATATATAAATTTGGTAGATAGGCAAGCGTGTGCCTTATGTTTTCCGAAAGAAAATGTACTGTAAAATTGATGAAAATTTGCATAAAAATGAGAAATGACGGAAATTGACCTATTTCCTGACACTCTGGCCCCTGTATATTCTAAAGCTTAAAACCAATACTCATATTGTGGCAGGGGTGACAACAGGTTTTTATGGATAAACTGTTGATTTAGTTTCAATTCATCAAGGGTATGCCACAATTCAGGTTAAAACAGACTATAGGCTAGTCTATAGAAACAATTCTTTGGCGTAAATATTTTACACTTATCTATTCATAAATTGTCATGTTTTGATTTCCATTCTAATATCAAAACTGACCATTGCATTGAATTTGTGAATTATGCATTAAAAAACAAATATGATATTTAGTATATTCTAACCATTAGAGACACCAAAGTTTCATTTGGTATGATTGTATATTGGTTAAATGAATTAGTTTCGATCTCCAGCAGATCTTGTTTCTTTAAAATCTCAAATCTGTGGGCTTAAGTCACCTCTGAATAATTGCCCGATGGAATGTGTAATTTTCTGTTTATGTTCAGAACTTCAGTACAGATAGTTTGCAGCTCATTTTTGAAACTTCTAGAACTTTCGTCTAAAGTTTGGTCTTTTTGTATGGTTGTAACTGCATCCAAAAATGTCATCAAAGCCCTGAACATCTGACTGGAATACATTTAGAGGACGAAAAACCTCTCCTGATTCCTATGTATGGGAATTTTACTGGGGGTGTCTCACAACTTTCGTTTTTCTTCAGATTCCATTTAACATGTAATACCATGTAGGCTACATAGGACATCTAATGCAAGCGATAATTTTTTTTTTCAATTTCAAAATATTTACTTTATTTAAGTAATAAAAAAGCTTTAATCTTTAATTACAGTGGAGCCTCATTTATCTGGACACTTTGGTTCCTAGTCAATTTGTCCGGATATGTGAAGCGTCCGGATATCTGAATAACCATTTTAACAATAACAAATAACATTAAATAATTCTGTTCTGAGAGAAAGTCATCTGGATACTAAAGCATCCGGATATCTGGCATCCGGATATCTGAGGGTCCACCGTATAATATGTTTAAACATATCAATGCCAATAAAACGACTTTAAAACGTGGATAAATGGATAAAGAAAATGAATAATCGACGAGAACATGGAGGTAGCCATGTTGTTTATACTAAAAACAGATCATGAAAGAAGATAGACTGTAAAATTTATCGAT